TCCACTCCGAAACCCCGCACTAACGTCGAACCAGCAAATCCTCCGCTAGCAAACCCGCATGGGGGTAAGATGTGTGCCGCCTGTTCCCGTGCCGTGAACCACATTCATAGAAGTGCACCGCGAAAACAAACAAGAAGCTTGAAGCGAACAAGGAAGCTTAAAGAGACGTGAGGAAAAAAAAAAAAAGAAGAAAAAGAGAAAAAACAGAGAGAAGTAGAGGGAAAATGTAGAAAAAGACTACTACTAGGACGTACTGCGGGCCTTGTTCCTCCGTGGTGTGCGTCGGAAGCGTGACACGAAAGCGTGGTACTCCTCATGGGGCTCCGTGTCTCTTGCCATCTGGAATACCACTGACACTCGACACCAATGCTACCCGCCCCTCCCACACCCCTTTGAGCCTTGTTCGATCGACTGCTCTCAAGGGCCCTTCTGTCAAGAATGGACCACTAGTCGAGGTTGACCGATGGACGGTTGTCTTTGGCCTGGACATCGCCTTTTAGACCATCAGAGGGGACATGCCATTTCCGATGCACTCTGATCATAATAAAATGTATTCCCAGTGGTGAAACGCCGCCCTTGGGAAGGTGATAACCATCAATTGATAGATCCATGGATGTCTCCACTCCAACCCACCGCCTTAATCCTTTGAGAAGAAGAATAATAATAAAAATTGAGAAGGCTAGGAACGTATGAGGGAGCGGCTTGGGGTAACATCGTTGGAAAGGGCCGGGAGATGAGGGCTAACCTGTGTCTGCCTGGCTCGATCTTGCCCGCCCGATGTCACTGGAGCAGAGAGGGCTTCCAACTACCGTGAAGGAACCATGGTTTAAGCATTTTCCGATGCACGATTGAAAGGAGAATTACGAGAAAAACGGAGTCGAGACTAATAGCTTTCACACTATTATACCATTGTGCGTGCAAGCCACGACGGCTTACGTTGCTTGGTCCATCGCATCGTCCCATCGGAACTGCACTGCACCCCAGAGTCAGCAATGAAATGTCGTCAAACGCTACATGTACTAGCCGCATCGGGTATGCGTCTGTTGACGTCTATTATCCCTGGATTATTTCATTCTTTGCAACTTTGCTAGGAATTGAAGGGGCGTTCGGGGTTCTACCACATGCACTAACCGCCTGCGCTGTTGGAAACCAACCTTCTGCTCCCGCTCATGCACTGCACATCCTTTCCCTTTCTCCTCTTTACCCTTCCCCTTCGAGCTTCGGAGTCTCTTTTTCCAAGTTGCGAGGAGAGGAGAGGCCTTCTACCCTCAGCCCTCCAACCTTGCCACATGGTCACCTATCTGACTCTTACGAAGCCGTTGGTAATCAATTTCCGGACTCTGGTCCTACGACGTCAGAGCCCAACGTCTTGAGCCACTGAGACGGTATTCGCATGCGAGCGAGGTATCCCCGGGCCAACGGAGAACCGGAGGAGGACACCTTCCCCGGTTTGATGTTTCAATGCCTCGGGATATGGTTTCGGCGAGGAGCATCGAACCCTGGTCGCCGGTGCTGGCTGCGAACCCTCTCTCGTATGGGCTGGAGAAGCTCACCCACGCACCACGCGCCCACCAAAACTCAAAAAAAAAAAAAAAAAAATTGACGAGTCTTCCCACGGGATGACCGGGGTCTATTTTAGCTCGGCATTGACCTTGACCGACAGCCGTTAGGCTTGTGAGCTAGAAGCCTGTAGGAGCAGCAGACGAAAGAACCAAAGGCCTTTGCCCCACCCGATGGAGTCCTCTCCTTTTGACTGACCAGCTGATGAGAAAGATGAGTTGAGGCAGCCATGGCCCTCCACCACCTGCCTGCTCTAGCCTCTAACCCCTTGCGAGAAAAGACTAGCTGCGAGACTGCACTTTTCTAGTGACCTCGTACCTCGCATGATGTCATTTTTAGGGCGCAAGGCCTCTCCAGCTCCTGAATTGGCCCGGAGAGAGCCCGACCTCCCCACCCCGCGACTCCATCAACCTCTTTTGGGCGGTTCCTTGATTATTCCCGTGGGGGCAAGACTGGTGAAAATGTTGGCGAAATTGACATTCTGCTCGGCTGTCAGCCCCTTCAAGGCTGCAAGGGACACACTTATCGCCGGCTTGGGACATGTGCATGGAGGCTCATTTCATCTTTTCAGAAGCAGATACTTGAAAAGGTAGGGACTGTTGAACCAACTTGGAATAGATGAGGAAGGGGTCGTCGTCGACCCTCGTCAAGACTGTGCAGGAGCAACCAATGTGTGAAGTCCAGGCCTCCAACTACTTTCGGCAAGTCTTTGCTATATGCGCACCAATCACAGCACACCTTGAATCTGGCTCAATCCCTGCAACCTGCAACACCATCAACAAAGTGGGAGAGGAAGGTGGTTTCGGCAGAAAGAATTTCAATCGAAGCTCGTCGATATTGCTTCCCCTTTCCTCAGAATACTCGACACACGCTCTTCCTACGACCCAAGATCTAGGCCTTGCATTGGCCGAGTCCTCCTCAAAAGCTTTTTTCCTTCGTCCTCGCCCCCGCCTCCCGCAAAGTGATCACGCTTCTTCCCCACAATGTTCGTCGTCGATCATCCCGTCACTTGCCGCTGGTACGCTCTTGCCGTCGTATTTCCAACCGCGAAAGCACATGTGTCACCGGGCGCGCTCAAGGTCTATAGCCAGGAATGGAATAAAGGAGATGATCATTTGTTCCATAGATGGTACCCGGGAGATGAGGAGGAAAAGGAGCACACCGAGCGTCACCGCTCACATTGGTATCAGGAACTTAGGGTTTCCCGCATATGCGAGTTGCACCTTCGCTTCAGCACCTTGTTTGCCCCTTCCGCGTGAACTCTTGAGTAAATGGAAAAAAGGTACAAAGCTTTGTGCCTCACGATCTGCTGCGTTGTGGAAAGAAATGTAACTGCACCACCCCTCGCTGTCGTGGAGGACAAAAGGCCCTCTGTCGGTGTATGATTCCTCTTCTCCTTTCCGTTCCCTCGCTGTGCCCGGGAAACAGGTCCCGGGCCGAATTGAGGAGATAGTGCCCTCCGCCACCCAGCCGAAACTAAGTCGCGAAGCATTGATCACTTTAATGTTCTACTGATACTGTTCAAGCGGGTTCATGCGAAGTATGGCCAGTGCTCATCGATCCTGCCCAAAATTGCCCCAGGACTAATAATTGTTAGTACCGATTTGCACCTTTGTCCCCTAATAATCTAGCAGTAGGTTAATATCGACGATAGACATCCGGTATGAATGGGCTTGAGGACGGTACAAGCACTGTATATCCTGCTTCTTCATCCATTGTTCTCGCGAAACATTCTCAATTTCAAGGTTCGGTTTTAAAGGCGGCCACCCGGCGCGCTCGGCCCTTGAAAGGCCGTCATCCGGAATTGGTAACCCCCATTGATGCTTGCGCATATACAAGTAACATCAATCTGACCGGATGTGAAGACGGCATCCAAACAGAAGCAAGCGGGCACCATCCACAGCTGATTGTCCAAAAAGCCGGGCTGGCTCTTATCCCCGCCTCGAGGATTCCAGGCTTGGGCCCTTTAAAACTTTCTTTCCTTCCTCGCTTCCCCAGACATCCCAACCGCGGATGGTACGATCCCATCTTCCTAGAGACTCCGCTTCTCTTGGCCCTGCGTTCCGCCACCCCAATATTGATGACGGCCAAGTGCATCCCTTCTTCTTTATCTACATGTAGTGACTGAAACTGCGCGAGAACTGACCCTCGCCGCCTCAGGGCAGGTAAACTCGGCAAATGCACGGCTCTGCCAATATAATTTATTTAACATATAGTTGATTAATCCTCGACAAACCGGCAGAGCCTGCCTACCGCAGTTGAGAAAACTTTTTTCTTCGACCATTTTCATTTTGGACTCATGAGCCTCTTACACGGGAGGCTTTCAAGACTCGGCACTCCTTGTTTCGAAGGAGTCTAGCTCTCACCCACTAGCTTCTTTCACTGATTCTTTTTCGAGGCACCTTTCCCCCTCCCTGTTCCCTTTTCCCCCATCACTTTTTCTTCCTTAGCTCGTCGCCGTCTTTTACTTCATTTGGGTATCCAATTGTTCAAGAGCCACTTCCAGTATATCGTAGTTCTCTATTTTTTTCTTTTCTTTTTCGGTTTGTTTTAGAAGCCGGGCCCGGACGTTTGTTTGTTACTCGAAGCGTCTAGGCTGGGGGAGGCGCGAGAACCGGCCGAGTTCCCCTCCTCCTCCTTCTCCACCTTCCACCCACAGCATCCCCACCTCCATTTACAATGTACTAGTTGAGACCTATACGACCCTGCCTTAGTGCCCCAGCGTGATCTAGTCTCCATTTTATTCCCACGCTCCCAGTATCCACCTTGGTCCTGTTCCCTTCAAATTGCCTTGAAGAAACCTCAACCCAAGAAAGGTCCGCCCTCCCCCCCTGCCCCTCCGCCCCCTACCTCTCATCCGCCGGACCCCTCGAGTGCTACCAAGTACATGTGGGTTTGGTCAGTCCGCTTTCCATCCAAATAGTCAACACCGGCACACATCCACGCTCGCACATGCGCTCCACAGATCTCTTCCTCCTTTACCATCTTTACTATCAGATTCCGTCCCCATTGACGAGAGCCCAAGGTCCCTTTCCGATTTCTCGGCCCTTATCAAAGGTCTCTTATAGCTGTCCTCGCTTCTTAAATCCTTCAGCACCTTAACTTTTAAGCTACTTCCCCACACCATTGTTGCCATTACACGCCCTCTTAGCTTCGCGTTTAGAGTACTCCCAGCCGAGCTTTATAAGAACTGAAGAGGGTCCCTTCTTCTCTCGATAAGAGGCCCCCTTTGGAGGATCTCATATATCCACCGCCGCGCGTTTTGCCTGACAGGAGCCGCAAGGAACAACGTACCTTTGCCCACTTCCCCACGCCTAGCCTCCAAATCTACTAGATAGAAGCCTCGCAACGACTCTCGCTTGCGAGCCTCACATCCCATTCTCCTCGGGCTCAACCATGCCTATTGCCCCAATCAACAACCGTCCTCGCCTACAATCATAATGCTTCTATACGCCAAGGTCGCCACTCCCAAAGTCCCCAAGAAGAGGTCTCGGTCAGGTTCGTAGTGATATCGTCCCCCTTCTGCATTCGCTCCAGTTCCGTGACCCCCTCGTTGAAGCGGAGCTCTATATTGTGGAGCTTATAGATGAGAGGGTTTGGTTTCTGTTCTGGCCAAGCTGCTGCCCGTGATTATCCTCAACAAGCTAACTGTATCTGTTGTCCACTACCTGCAGGATGCACACAATGGTATGTTGAGTAATCGTCTATTCTCTCCACTAATCCTCCACTTCTTGATCCAGAACCTAGCCTTGCTTATTCTTCTCGCTAACTTCATCTCTCTATAGCAAAGAAAAGGTACACACCGAACCTATCTTCAGACCCTGACTCGGGTATACGATGCTGTGTTTGCAACGTCTCATGAAACTAACCATCTTTATCCTTTGTAGAAAAAGAAGTGCAATGAAGAACGGCCAGCCTGCCAGCGATGTGCTGAGAAAGACCTCGAGTGCATCTACGAATCCGTCAAACCTCGCCAGCGCAAGAGACACACCTCACGGGAGCCACTAAGCCCTCTTTCACCCATCGCTCTTCAGCGCAGGCCACAGGCCCTAGACCTAGGGTTCCAGGATCTTGACAACAACTTTAGCTTCTGGGCGGACGAGGTAGCAACGCCTGTCGCCGAGACCCCTACGCACGCATCCCACGGAGAAGCGGCTTCCGATGGCACCTTCCCGTCGACGAGGCAGCTCCTATCTAGACACCAGGAAGCTCCTTACCCATCTCTAGACCTCCCCTTGTTCTCCCCCGATGCTTCTGCTGTATTCGAGCTGTCTCCATATAGCGGCGGGGGCGGTGGTGAGGGTGAAGATGAGGAAATCCCCGCCCACACGCCTACCACGACCGAACTCGTCCCATTATCTCCCCACTACTCCCGGCGCGAATCCTTCTTGGGCTCATCGCAGCATGCCAACCACTTTTTCCAGTTCTCCATGCCTCTTGACTCCTTCATCAACCCTCTATACTCGGAGTTCTCCCAAGAGCATCGGCACCGCACGCTGATAGATCACTTTAACAATGTCCTCGCCCGCCTTATCGTCCTCAACGAGGAATCTGGTAACCCTTTCCAACGGTTGATCCTACCAATGTGCCAAAGTAGTGATGCCGTGCGCAATGCTGTTTTCGCCCTCTCGAGCGCCCACCGAGAATATCGGGGGCTTATTGGACCTTGTGTAACGACCTTGGATGCCGAAAACTCCACTTTCTTCTATAACCAAGCTATTCAAGGAATAGCGAAGCTGATTGAGGCGGGGACGAGCCGGAACAAGAACGAATTGTTGGCGGCAATCATGCTTATAGTATACTATGAGGTGGTAAGTTCTTGATCATCCAGGGAGAATTTTTCTCAGTCCAGCGTGTCCATCTATGACCGGAAGTACGAATAAGGATTAACGTTTCTTTTTACACAACATATAGCTCGTCAAAGATGGCCAGACAAATATAGTAGACGGCCATTTGAAGGGGGCCATGCTCGTTTTGAATGCCAGCGAGGAGAGCCTTGATACGACTGGCGCATTTCTAGAAAGGGTAAGTGCCACCAAGTTATGCCCAATTCGGGGTGAAGACGAGGTTTCAAGGCGGCGGCGACTGCTTGCGTCTTAGCTATCAGTACTTCCATTTGGTTTATTGTGATTTGACACTAACATGGATTTACGGTAGGCATTCCGATTCTACGAGGTCATTGCCGCCTTGTCGTTTGGCACAGCGCCCCTATCATACGACGTCACAGCTGCGTTCGGAGCGACGAGGAAGGATGGCTTAAACAGCGGCGTAGACACTCTGCTGGGGATGGCCAGCACTCTTTGGCCTATACTACATAAGCTATCCACACTTTTATCATTGAAGCAAGCCCTTGAAGCGATGCCGCAAAGCGAGGCTGGCAGCACGAAGCTTTCATCGCTAAGGGCCGAGTTCGAGACGAGGGCGTACTCGGTGGATGTTGCCTTGAAGCGGTGGAAGCCCAACCTGCCGCAGCAGTTCTTTACGATGAGCGAGGGCGAGCAAGGAGGGCCTGCGACTGAACAGCTTGGCACTTGCTCGGCTGGGTCAAGCGGCGAAACGACAACGGCATCCGACCGCGCTCACCTCCATTCGGTGCTGAACAACGCACTAGCGTACCAGCACAGCGCGATTGTATACTTGCATCGCACGATTTACGGGCACTCGAGAAGCCATGCCCTGGTCCAGAGGCACGCGCACGTCTCGCTCACGCACTGCGTGGCGGCGGTCCGCAACGGCGGGCCCATGGGCGCGCTCCTGTGGCCTCTCTTCGTCGCCGCCTGTGAGGCCGTCACGCTCGGAGACCGAGATCTCGCGACCCAGGCCTTCCTCGCCGTCGAGCGCAGGCAGGGCATGGTCAACATTGAGCGGTCGTGGGCGGTCGTCCAGGAAGTTTGGAGAAGGGCCGACGCGGCCGAGGAGCTTTCAAGCCCTTCCATGGCATGGTGGGCAACGGTGGCAGCGGCAGCCACGGTAGCGGCAGCAGCTGCGTTCCGATATTTAAGGGGCGTGACCTGTGGAGAAAGATTAGTGAAGAGATGGGCGTCACGCTCGTGCTAGGGTGATCCTCTTACGTGTGCGTGGCTTTGGCCAACACAAAATCAGGGACTTTGGAAGCAAACTGCCCCCTTCCCTCCCTTCTCCCCCACGAACGGACGGAGAGAAGAGGAGGATTATAGGCGTGACCCAACATCTTACATGACGTTCCTGTGCGACATGAACTCGGGGTGTGTGCCAGAGCGGGACAAAAAGATGAGACGATTTGCAGTTGGCGCTGGGAAAGGGTTCAGGCGTCGGATCACGGAAGGACGAAATATTCCGTTTTATGGGTTCCCAAATAGTAATGTCGGTGGCGTTTTTTTTTCCTTATCTCTTAACGAAGGCGTACACAGAGCGAGTCTATTTCTGTCGATAATTTATTCTTCCATTTTGTTCTTTTTCCCGGCGACGCTCCTCTTCTTGCTTTCCCGACATTCCCGTTTTTCTAATTTTTTTCCCTCTTCTCCTCTACAACAACATGCAAAAAGTTGTTAGCGGTAGTAATTATTTATTCAGCGAGAAGATCATCGAAGCTGACGATTGCTGATACTCTTCGCTTCTCGTGGTAAAATGCGATTCTTGTTTCAAAAGCATGGGCCGGAACGCGGACAAAGGAAGGAGTGTCATTCGAGGTTCTTGGGATCCGCGCACATCACGTAGAGATTGGCGGGGTTCTTGGCACCTTGTCAGATCGCCCCAAACAACGCAGATGAACTGTGAACGACACCCCGTCGGACAAGCCATCGTGGCCCCGGCGGAGAGGAGTGACGCGACATGGGACGACGTGATGTCTTTTTCAACCCAAGACCAAGGCAACCCCAAGAGACGGAGCGAGAGAGCGAGCGGCCTCCCTTTGGGTCAGTGACACGTCGCTCTATTGGGAGAAGCATCGCGTGGGGTCGTGGGGTCTTAGGGTGGGGTGGGAGTTTTCAGGTCGGTTTAGGCTATTGTACGCCAGACCAGCATGAGACTCAGAAGGCCATGGACAATGAGCTTCCTATGTTTTACAAGTAATAGTGGCGCAAAAATGCTAGTCTCGCATCAAGATGGGAGGATGCTGTGGTGTTTTGGCCGGCGCAGAGAGCGCCAATGAAGAGAATTCCTTCTGCCTGGTCGGAGGAGTTCGGAACAAGGCTCTTGCGGCTCAGCGGGAAGGCCAGCAGACCCCGATTTTCGTGCCTTCTTCTCCTCTCCATCTTTGCTTTTTCTTTTCCTAGACTCTATGCGGGACCGCCCAGGGGGCATATGGCAGATGAAATGTCCTCTAGCATGGCGACGGGCAGGGCGGCATATGCTTCCCGCGAAGGGGCCATCGATTGACCGAACCACCTGTGAGAGGTTACATTCGGATGGGTCGCGGGTTGTTCTTCACAAACACCTCAACGAAATTCCAGCAACGAGCTGACCGCAATGCTTGGTACCCCAAGGCTAGATCAAGGTTGGACGAAACTCTCGGTTCGAAGATTATCCTGCAGCCCGAGTCTCGGCCAGCCGTCAATTATCAAGAGATGGGCTGGGGAGAGCGAGGTGCGAGGTAAATGGGGGCTTGGCGGCACTACTGAAGCCGCACAGGGACGTCCGACGTATGAACCTGTGTCGACGAATAGAGATCAGAGAACCACCAGTCAAAATTGGGGAGGAGATGGGGAAGGGTTGTAAGCCTCGATTTTACCTTCTCAAGGTCATTATTTCAAAGAGGAAAAATGAAAAATAAAAAATATTGAAGCATCCATCCATCCATAGATGGATGTATCAATCTGATTTATGGCGTTTGGTCGTTTGCTACCTATGTAGCCTCGGCTTACTTTAACAACGGCCATCACATCCCCAAGGTGAATTTCTTTGTTCTAGAATTTCTGGCGTGAACCACGAGTGAATTTGGTCTCTTCAATCAAACCAACTTGGCGATGATGTGGCGGGCCCCACAAGTACCGTCTCGCAGGGCGGCCAGTTTTGACCCGAGCGGCGATATTGGAACGGCTATAGGCGAAGGGAACCCCATCCACCACAACAGACACACACCTTACCCACTCGCCTTTTTGGGCTGTCACCCATCGTCCACCGGCAACGGACCGCGCGGGGTGCTGCATACTTAGCGTCCTTGGGGAGAGCGGGCACACTTGCCGGGCTGCAAGGGTGAACCCCATCCCCCGAACATATCTCCCACTGGCCAGCCATCAACTGCTCGCCAACGTGCCTCTCACGCTGAGCCACCTTGAGGTCTCTTTTTGGGGGAGCTTGCAAGAGTTGAAGGCCAACGCAGCCTTTCCTTAACTCCATTTACTCTTCTTTCTTGTCTTTCTTTCACAGGTCGCATAATCGAGCATTTTTCATCGGCCTTCTCCAAATGAGCCCAGCCAAAGATTGCCGTTGGTGCATTGAGCGACGGCGTCCACTTTGACGTAGGAGAGCCAAGCGATTGCGACGTGGAAGATCAAAGGCATGCACTCTGAGCGGTCAACAAAATATGCGATGAGGCCAAATAGCTGGTGGAGTAAAAACCACGTCTACCCTGCGGGATTGGCGCAGGTTTGGCTGGCTGCTTCGAGCGATGCCAGCGATATGTGCTGCAGCTGCGTGCCCATCTCCAATGCATCAACTTCCAATGAATCAATGGATGGTCGGGCCCCACTGAGCAGCAGTCCCGGACAGGAATTCTGGGCGGCCTGGCCAAGCCCAATTTGACCCCAAGTGCCGGAAAACCCACTCATATACCTGTTGGATGTACTTCAACGAACCCAGTGTTTTCCACCTTTCATCGAGCAATGCAATTGATATCCCCTTCCCTTAGTACCTACTCCCCCAATCCACCCTGGAAATCGAGGCCACCAACAGAGCAAGCTTACATCGCGGCGCGGGAAACTATTTCTATTCGAGATGTATTCGGGAGAGGAGGGGGTCAAGTGTGACGTTCTAGGAGTAGAGAAGCTCGGCCCGGAGTATGCCGCGATCGAAAATTCAAGCGTGGGATCGTAGTGATAATTTAATGGTGAGACGGACAAGAGCCATACAGCGAAACGACAAGTCATTGAGCTGGCCTACTGCGCGCGGCAAGCCGGAGTTGGATTACCCAATATTGTGCCAAAACGCCCACGCATATGCAGCCGCCGCTGGCCTCTCGCTGGGCAACAGAGGAAGCCTAGATCAAGCAAGGTAAAAGGGAAAAGGAAAACCAGAGACTTGACTGAGGCTAGTGGAACTGATGAAAATGGGCCCAGGGCTAGCCCTCGGACGCTTCAACTGTTCTTCCGTAGTGGGCGCGGAATTTGCTTCAACTCGGTTGGTGATCGCCGTTCTCGTGCCCCTCCATCTCAAGGGTCTGCCCCATCGACTCAAACACGCCCGCTACCTTAATCCTATTACCCGCCTGCCGCCTTGTCACACCAATGGTGTCGATGGGGGCCTCGACTCCCCTTGGTTTACGTGCATCGTTTTTTTTTTTTTAATCTTTGGGACTCGATCAACAGTGACACCGATTCAAGGGAAATCTGCCAAGGTTAAACAGAAACCGGTCCTCCCGGCATCCCGTTCCCTCTTTTTGGCATCGTTTGGCGACGGCTTCCAAAGAACGACCTAACCGTGAGTCAGCAACTTTTGTTGTTCGCCCAACCTTCCCAACGGATCGGTTGGTGTGTGTGGTCACCCACAGCGGAGCCACCACCATTCGGACAAGGGTTCACTTGTGTGGAGGTGCATTGCTGTGAGCTTTGCATTTCGTGACGGGCGCTGTGCTGTACGAACCCCAATTCTTCATCCCACACCCCACCTTGTTCCATCAAGTTGTTGATCTTCCTGCCTCTGCATGTACATCCGCACACGCACACCACTCGAACACCCCTGCTCATCTCTCCATCGGCTTGACTTGAGCGAGGTCTCGCCCACGGCCATCGGTTGATGTCACCGACTCGACACAACGAGCGCCTAATAGTGCCCACTCCCCGCGGCCCTTGCTCGCCACCGCACTGTCGGTTTCTGGGACTGGTCCCACGCCCTCATTCCCAATAAACGGAGTAGTCGCCAGAGGCTAACGGGAGCCACATTGGCATATCTGCACTGTCGGTCGAGTTGCTTCTGCTCCGGACGCTTGTTCTTTTTCCAGCGCCCGGGAACTTCCTGCCTTGCCATTCTCAGACAGGGATTTGCACTCCCCACCCCTTACCCTTTACCCTTAGCCTTAGTCAGGGCTGCTCTTGCCGTGGCCGCTCAAGGATGAGGATTGGGGAAAGAGCGCCCGAGATGAAGATACCTCAACTATTCTTGGACGAGTACCCGCTGTCTAGCTGTTACAAGTCAAGTTGATGCCGCGACCTTGTTGGCACAACTCTCACGTCTGTGCCGCCTAGATCCATACATCCATGGATGGATGGACGTCAGGAACATTCCCCGGCGGGTGTGGGGTTTGGGGTGAACATGAGGGCTCAACTCCGCTTGTCTCCTCTTGTCGACCCTAGCCAGGGATTCGACAAGCTTAACCATCGCCATCAAATCCATACACCAGATCTTTTCCCCCTCCCTCCCCCATCTACCATCGCCCCTCTCCCCTCTTCCCCCAAATCCCTATCGAGCAGTTTGATCCCTCCGGAAGTACATACCCATACTTCATACGCGTACCCTCCCTCTCTTAGTCTTCCCGTACTCAGATGTGACCTCAATGCATTCCCGATCTCACCTCCATCGTGACTGCTTCCCGTAACGTCTACACGGCTGCTATTAGTGGAGACCCCTGTCAGTGCCCACCACGGGCTCCTTCCTTAGTCTTTGTCTTCAGCCAAAGGCCTGCTACCCTTTTCTGCTCTTGGCTGGCTGCCCGACATTGATCCTTGCTGACAGCTCGAGTCGATTCACCAGACCCTTCTTGGATCGAACACCCCCGCGCTGCCACTCAATCGTCGAACCAAGTTCCCCTTCCACCTCCTTCTCTCGCTACCGCCACCACCGTTGGTTTCTACTCTCTTTCTCTCGTTGCGATCCCATCTTCACGCTCATTTTCTTGGGGGACGTTCTTTTTCTCTTTGCCCACCTTCTTTCTTGACTCGTCTTCTCGCTTACACTGCACGTTCTCGTTTGTTCAACTTACACCATTCGTTTTTGAGTCGTTCGAGTGTGAATCTTGTAAAAGGTCTGCCCTACTATCTCTAATATTACCCGTTTACTCTTGTGCCCTCGAATAAGTGCCAGAGCACGATTTCCCTCTCTAATCCTAAGCGACTTTGCCTCGTACCATCCATCAACCCCCTCACCATTTCTCGAGCACTTCGGATCTTCGGGGGCGCCACTGTTGCGAGGGCTCTTCTCTCTCCTCATACTTCCTCTCGGCGGGCGCCATCATGAGCTTTCCTTAGTTGAGTACTATGGCAACCATGATGAACAGGGTAATCCCCGCCGAGGCAAATACGCTTCGTCCACAACCAAGGGCAGCCTCCATCGAAAAGGAGGAGAATCAATGCTGCGTGAGTGTCCTGTGCTAACCCATCCTCTCTTCTTCACGGTCCGGCCACTTTTGTTGCATGCTCTCATGGCAAAGTCCCTTTTCCGGGAGTGGCACGCAGATTGATTTGGCTTCCGGTTTCACTAACATCGTCGTGCGTTCGGGTTTGGCGACGTAGCTGCCTGACTTGTCGGCGAAGAAAAACGAGGTGCGCAGGAGAACGCCCGTTTTGTTCGACGTGCACGAAAAACGGCCACCCTTGCCAAGGATATAGTGATATATTAGAAAAGAAGAAGGATTCGGGTGCGGGCGAAGAGGAACGGAGAGACAGCTCAACGGAATTTACAACTCATGACGAAAACGATTTTGATGATGAGCGTGACGATGGACGGCGACATTCAAAATCAAAACTCGATGCCGCTCGGCGATTTTCACCTCCTGCTGGTGGGAGAGATCGGAGACGCAGTTTACAGGAGACGCCGGTTTGCCGAGGGGCGGCGCTCTGCTGGAGCGCCGGCATACGATTAATAGTCCGAGCGAGAGGTCCGATCCCAGGCTCCGAGACCAGTTGATGCATTCAGCGTACGACCACTCGGGTGAAGACCAGCCCGAAGTCCGCCGGGTCCCTTATTTCCGATATTTCGGGCCCACAGCAATCGTGCCTGGCTTTAAACAGATGGTGGTCTCGGTGAAGAATCGCCGGCGTAGCAATACTGCGGGCTCACTTTCTGGCATCTCACCAAGCTCGGCCATCCGAAACACCTCTATTCCCGGTTCGCTCTCGCTGGACGACTCAGTCACCGACGAATACCCAATCTACGATACTAATGACGCCAATCCAGTTCCGGTATTAATTCTCAATCTGATAGACACTTTTTTCTGCATTTGGGCTGCAATTATCCCTTTTGAAGCGAGACCGGTTTGGTCGCATGGTCAGAGAGAAGCAAGTGGAGCCGATACTGGTAGACGCGGTCTGCGCCTTAGCCGCCCGCTTTTCCGACTCTCCCATTTTTACACAGGGCAAGAACAATGGTGTCCTGGATCGGTCGGATTTTGGAAGTTTTTATGCCCAAAGAGCCAAGGCCGCGACGGTAGAAACGTTTCCTTGCCCGAGCGTGGCGGCGGTCCAGGCCTACTTGCTGATGGCATACGAAGGGTTTGGAGTGAATCAGCATAGCGCTTTGTGGATGTATCTCGGCCTTGCCATCCGGATGGCGGTCGATTTAGGTCTTCAAAAGGTTGTGGGGGTGAAATACCAGGGTGAAAAGGATCCTTGGTATGCTCGAAACTGGAACCGCGGCGCGGGCACGGCTACCGAGGAAGAGGCTGGCCCTGAGCCGGAGACGGCGGGCGGCTCATCACTCGGCGACCTCAGTCCGACTGAGCAGCAAGAGGTGGAACAGGAGCGAATAGACACGTTCTGGGCGGTTTTTACCCTCGACAGGGTGATATCCTCGGGCACGGGAAGGCCAGTGACGTTTAAAGATGACGACTTTGAGCTCTCTCTTCCTACGCCCCTCATAGATGCGACGAGCGATTGGCCCGATCCGTACCCTCATTTTGTGCGCATTATTCACCTCTACGGACGTGTATCCGACGTCCTGAACAATGTGCGCAACGCGAATGATATGTCAAGTGACAAGTGGAAGAAACTGGCCGAAATGGAGACAGAGCTCACAAAACAGCATCAGGCCCTAGACCAGCGACTCGAGTTCAACGCCGGAAACTTCAGGACATATGTCAACACAGGCCAGGGCACAACGTTCATTCTCTTGCACTTTTGGTTCCATGCTCTGATCATCATCCTCCACCAACCTACACTGCTCGCTCCATTTGGCGGGCTCAGCCGCACCCACCAGCTTCTCCCCAACAGCCGAGAGTTGTCCCTCTCGAGCGCCAAGACGATTGCCGATATCCTGTCTTTTGCAGAGCTCATTGATCCCAGAAGCTTCATAGGGAACCCTTTCACATCGCAGCCAATGTATATAGCAGCCTGTGCGTTTCTTATGGATTCTGTCGCTCGCGCATCTCAGACAGAAACCTCAGATGTTAGCCACTTTCCAGACTTGCAGGGCGTCAATGTATCCGCAATCGAGGTTTCGCAGGAGAACCAAGAAGGCTCCAACACCTCAAACAAGCATTCACTCCTGGCATCTGCGGCCAACAAAAACTACCAGCGCTGCTACAATTCTTTAACACAGCTCCATACATACTGGGGTGGGGTGAAGTACATCCTCACAGCGTTGGATCAGAAATCTGAGGGCATCTGGGATGTTGAGACGTACACCTCGGAAGAATATGAGAGCACCAAAATCATGCGCAGAGGCTCTGTGAACCGGTTTCCGACACTCGGAACCCCGGTATCACCAAACGCGCCACCATTTGCGTGGTCACTTGCAGGCACCAGCAACTCTCACAACTCCAATCTCACCTTCATGTACCAGAACCCTCCACGCCAATCTTCCAAGATGCAGCAAAGCCAGGCAGCTAGTGGAGTGAACTCGGCCGATACGCCTCCCGGGAGCATGGTGTACGATCCCATTCGTCAAAGCGTGCCGCAGACACCAGCCATGTTCCCGCCACCATATCCGCAGCCAACGACATCGGCGATACGCCAATCTCCACACCCGGGGAAACCGCGAAGAAAACTCTCGGCACCAGCAGTCCCCATTCTGAAAACGCCCACAAAGGGAATGCGCCATTTCGAGGGCCGACACTTGCCTCCGGACGACATAACCACGCCGCCGCCATCGGTGGATCAAACGCCCAAGATGAATGTCCTCGGTGGTGTGATGGCGCACCAGACATATACACCATCTTCCCATTCCTCAGTGTATGACCCATCTGCACTACAGAATAGCTCACCCATTGCCAACATGACGGAGCAGCATCAGCATCAACTGCAGAACCGTCGCCACCAACACCAGCACCAGCACCAGCAACGGCACCTATCGTCAGGAACCCTGGAAGCGTCCCTGGGAATATGAGCGGAGGCGGGGTGCCGTATGGAAACCAAGGCCCCGTCCATGGGTACCATGGCGGCAATATGCAGTACATGCCGAGTAACAACAGCCACGTTCCTAACGTCATCACCTTTAATAGCCAGGACATTGACATCAACTCCCTGGGCCTGCAGAATGAGATGATGCCGTCTTGGCTGGAGTACCTTCCGGTGATGAATATTTTTGACGGATCTAGCATGGGGGACAACAGCGGGCAAGAGGGCGGGCCATGAGCGACTCGATAATGACAGAAGATACACTAGGGCCCTCTTGGCTCGGGTATGCCATGGGGATGGCAAGCGAAGAACGTAATAGCATGATTCTGGACAGTCATCTATGGATCGATATTTCTTTTGCCTTTCGAATTGCGCCAATACACATTATGCATAGCGAAATGGTTCAACTACAGGGTTGATTAATGAACCAGGGGGCGAGGTCGACACGGCACGAACATGAAAGATACCAATACCTCAGTTGCATAGCATTTTCTCATTTCACTGATTTTCGCAGCGTTTCAAGTTTTTCCGTTTCTCTATTCAGCAGCTGCCTTAATCATCTACGGATTCAGCCCTGCCCTGTACTTGCGACATAGCTCGAACAGAACAACGCGCTTTGAAAAAGGGGTTGTTCACGCACATACACACGCATCACCCACACCTCTGTGTATATAGCAGTCTTTCAACTTTATTTTTCTTTTGTTTATGATTTTAATCCCCTATCTCTTCAAGTCCACCGTTTTCCTCCTTATCTCTTTTCGTTTCGTTCTCTGGATTAATCTTATTATCGGTCATGTGGGAAGGGGGATTGGATGTAATCACGGCCTGGGGTTTTCTTGTTCACGATGAATGGTGCCCTGGTATGGCCCATGGAAAGGTCTGAGCAAAAGGAAGGATGAGGGAACAGCAAGGCTGCCATCCATGGATGCATGGTCAGCCAAACGGAAACGAAATGAGTGCACTCTTAGAAAGGACCCCGGTGGGCGCTTGCATGTATGTAGAGATAGAGAATTACCTCGAGGATGATACCACGAGCTTATTGGTTCAAATGTATTTTTGTTTCTATTTTCGACTTGATCAACTAGGCTATTTTACACGACTATCCATCTGTACGCGTGCGTTGCAGTCGATGGGGAAGCGCACTCTGCTGTTAGGGTGATTCACCCCTTTGCTAGCCACTCGTTCCATGAGACTGGACGCCTCTCGTATGAAGTAGATGGTTCGGTAAAGCTGCCTAGGTCTAGTATGGGGACCATGGAGGGTCTCCCGTGGGCGCACTGAAAGGGGAATGCGCATTCTGCCAACCCCGAGATGAGTTGGGTACACTCCTCATGTTTCAGAGGGTCGTTGAACATGATGGCACCTGGGCGCGAGAGAGCAAAGAGTTAATAAGAAACTTGTCAGGGTCTCAAAGTATAGACTGCGAGGGTGATGATGATTGGGGGAAAGAAAAAGAGAGAAAAGAAAAATCTTACTTCTGCAAGCTCTGGAATTGAGGAGATCCAGGATGCCGCGCGGACATGCGGCAAAGGCGGGAACCCACCAGATAGGGTCCGAGGGTGCGGAGGCGCCGAGGTCGGGAAAGGGCACGCTTGGGGGTGGGCGCTCGTCGAGCTTCCAGGCCTCGGCGCGGAGCAAGTCGATGAGGAGGGGTGGCTCCTGGGAGCATCGTTCAAAAATGCCGAGAGGTAGGGCGAGGACGGACACTTGGGCTTGCGCGTCGTCGCGAGAATCCGGGCGGCTGGGGGTGCGGCTGCGGCTGCGGCTGCGGTGACGGCGTACACGAGCCCCCAGCTGGCTAGGTGCTCGCGGAAGCGGCGGAGGAGGTCGCCTTCGGCGCGGGATACCTCGAACCGGATGGGGTCGGGTAGCGGTTCTGTGCGGGCGGTGGGACGGCCGGAAGGGGAGGGGAGGGGAAAAGTAGGCGCGGACGAGGGCTTCGAGACGGATACGCTCGTCGGCGGCGTGCTGGTCGATGATGAGGAGAATGGAAGAAGACGGCGATTGGGTGGTGGTAGAAGGGTGGAGGGTGCTAGACGGAAGGAGCCACGGCGTGGGATGCGGGCGAGGATGAACTTGTTGTCAACTTGCGAAATCACTTTGGCCCTCTTTAGACTCTCTTTCGACACGTGGCCGTGCAGGGAGGTGGTGGAGGGCCCGTATCCGAGCGAGTCGCGGCAGGATGACTTGTTCCCGTGGAGGGCGTTGTCGTGATAAGACCGGGGATGGGGAGCTCGGTGGGTTCGAAAATGGGGTTCTTCCATCTCGTTAAAAGATCGTCCAGCCAGGCGCCCCGTTCCGGTTGTGGGTCATCGTTTTGCGCCGAGATTCTCGATGCGCGGGAACGGCTGCCGAAATGTTTAGACTGGCCTGGCGTTATGGCATCGGCGAACGGGGGCGCAAGAAATGTCCTGACCTGGTCAAGAGAGGTGGAGTATCGCCCGACCCGCCATTGACAGTACTCTCCTGTCGTCCTTTGTCGGAGCTGGAGCCGGAGCTAGCCAGGGGGCTTGCGTAGCGACGGTGCTTGCCCGACTTTAACCCGGCTCCACGTACCGAAAGCAGTGGGTGCGCCGGCAGCGGAGCGAGAGAGCGCGCCCGGTTTCCTCGAAGCCCTGGTGGTGGCCGTGCTAAGGCCTGACCGGTTCGACACGGACCCCCAGGTTTCCTCGCGGCCGCGGTGGGATGGTAAGCCTTCGAGGGACACGGCCCGGCCGGGCATGCGGGGGCTAAAATGGTGCTTCTGTAAGAAATCATAACAAACTGTCTTGAGCAGTTGCAGCACGGAGTCGACGCGGTGGGTCTGCGCTAGGAGCTGGTCGAGGCTTCGATGCAGCGGGTTCGCCTTCCGCGTCGCATTCACTTGGAGGAAAAACATGGGGAAACGATCGACGCCTCGTTTCGGTCTTTGGCTCGAGGCGGGCCCACCCGTCGTCGACACCTGGGTCTGCGAAAGCTCCGTTCCGGTGGCGCCATCTTCTAGGGCCGCAAAGGAGGAGCTCGAAAAGACTCGGTTCACTTCGTCGTATAGGATTCTGGCGCCGAGCTCGCTCGGGATGGGCGTGATTCCAAGACAGACGAACTGCGATCGTCTCGAAGCGACCGGGTTCAATGAAATGCATCCCTTGATGGACAGGCCTCCTCCGGAAGCACTCACTCGATCCCAGGAGCCGGCATCCGCAGCATCGGAGAGGCCGGCCTGGGAGAGCCCGCGGGAGACTCGAGAAACGAGATCCCGGCTATCCGTGGTGGACAGTGTGCTGCCGGGTCTCGGCTGAGGCGGGTGCAGGCGTATTTCGAGACCGGAAGTCGCCTCCCGCACACGGATGGTGACGGGTTCGCGCCAGGCGAGCACCAGACCGACGATGTGCAGCACAAGGCGCCGCCACTCCTTTTCAATGGCGGGCCGATCGCCTTGGCCAGGTCTCTGCTTTACGCGGACGGGCATGGACCCAAACAGATCACGGACGGAGACGCGGGTGCCGTGGCCAAAGGTCAAGAGTCTCTGCTCTGGCTGGGCTGGGGTATTTCTATACAATACTTGCGAGTTATGGAAACCTACGGCATTGTGAGAGTGGTACTGGTGGTGACGGGAGGCGACGGCCAGCAGTGACAGGGCTGCCACGGCCGCTAGAAAATCACCGTTGGACCCATGGCACTCGAGTAGGGCATCCAGCTTTGATGTATCTACGGTGGTTCATCTTGTTGATAAGCACACGATGCATTCTACCATAATCACACGGAGGGTCTGGGTGGATCTCAAAACATACGGTGGGATCTCCCGAGACCTCCATCTACGCGAAACTCTTGGGGAGGGACGCCTAGACCGTCGTCCTCGACGGAGCACGTGGCCTTGGCGTAGTCGACGGAGACGTTGATCGTTTTGGCCTCGGCATCCAACGAGTTCTTGACGAGGCCGGAGACGACATCGTTCAGAGAGGTGATGAGGACTGACGACTTGATCTTCTCGGCGACGTGGGGTGGCAGTGGCCGTATCGACATGAAAGGCGAAGCCTGCGCGACCCGATTCACACACGCTTGTGCATGTCTTGCTTGGCCGAGCCGTCCGTCTTGTCAAACAGGGGCGAGCCTGGCCGAGCGGCTAGGGAACTGGCTCCGAGTTTCCCGTTTCCGAAGCAAAGAAAAAGAAAAAAGCCCGGGTCTGGCCGAGAGACGCTGTTCGGTATGAGTCGTGGCAAGACTGGTTAGCCGTGGCCAAGCGAGACCATGACTGTGGGATTGCACGTGTGGGTTCTTCACACGCCAATGTTTTGTTTGCATGTTGATCACTGCACAGAGCAACCCAAAGAAAGTCGGATGACGTAATCTTCCCATCAGCAACATGAGACGGTTGTTTGCCAGCTGGCTGACAGTTTGGTCTTCCGTGAATGGCCGAACACGAACAGGCAAGTGCGACGCTGCCAGCCAGCCCACCAACCCAACCCCAATCCACTGCACAGCAGTTTTGGCTTGGCTTCATGGCTTCGGCCCAGGCGGGTCGCGTTTCTCTTCGCCCCCCTTCGGAATCATCAGATCTCCGCCCATTGTCCCATGGCCGATCAGTTTTAGCCTGATTCAACCCCCTTCCTGCAGCGGAGAAGCAAATGATATTGGTTTTCCCATGTTCGCCTTGCAGGACCTACTCCCGCCATCAATACCAAACAGTCGTTGCGTTCGGGTCCAGCCCAAAGGGTTCTTTTCCGGCATCCACACTCGCTAAGGCCGCACGCTAAAAACCTCGCAGTGCGTGCATTCGCTCCCACGCTAGTTCGTCGCCCTCAGCTGCTGCGCAAACGCACGTCCGTCCGGAATTAATATTGACACACAGCCTCTTGGAGCCTTGGGCGGGCTTGGAAGAAGATCGCGGTTTTCCTTTCTTTTTTTTTCTTTATTCTCCCCCACTCCGAATCCACCTTTATTTTTCCCCTTCCCCCAACTCTCAGCACTCAGCACACCAGCACTAGTCATCTCTTTGCCTTCGGACATCTCCACTCTTCCCCTTCCCACCGCATTGCATCCTTGGAGGCCCGGAAGCCCCAGTCTTCGATCCAGCCGAGAGGGAAGAGAGAGAGAGGAAGAGAGAGGGGACAAAGTAGGCTTTAAAAGGACTCCATCTTATCTCCGGCATCCAGTTCAGCGACCCTTTGGATCGCCTTTCACCCCTACCCGCGAGCAGCTATCCTCTCCAATCCTCGCCCTGATGGCGACCACTCTAGAAGCAGCCATGATTCCTAGTCACGGTACGTGACCCACCACACAGCCCCTCCCTCCCCGGTTCCAAGCCGCCCGTCGTATCTAACCTCTCCCTGGCCTTCTTCTCTAGATGACCGCCCCGATCGTACAGGTAGAAGACGACCATTCTCGACATGGGTGAGGAAGCTCACCAACTTCAAGGCGTCGTCCTCCGGCGAGGGCGCCACCCGACATTCGCGCCTCAACAACCCCATGCGCATGCATGCGAGGCACCGCTCCGGCAAGAAGAACAACCCTTACCCCGAATCTGGCTACGTCAGCAACAATCACGGGGCCGGTGACGGCAGCGCGTCGTACACCACAGGCAGCCCACAGCGCACGAGCCTCTACTCCGCCTCGACGGGAGGCAGCGGGAGCGAGACCTCGCTGGAGCGCCGCTCGCTCAGCTCTTCGGTCGCGGGGCTTCCTCCGGCCACCTCGGGCGCTCGGTCTGTCGCGCTCACCGTATCAACGGATCACGAGACGTCACGGTCCATCGTAGCCCCGTCCCACGGCGCCTCGTCTCTCGCCGGAACCGCCCGCGGCGGCCACGAGTCGCGGCGCGGCGACGGCAGCACCTTCTCGTCGCCCGCACCCTCTGAGCGCTCCCTCGCGACGACCCTGACAACCATCCAGTCCGCGGCGATAGGCGGCGGCCACGCGACCACTACGAACCACGCGTCGCACCACGGCACCTCGAACTCGCAGACTATCACCTTTAACCAACCCTTCCCGACCACCTCCCCAGCCTCGGCCCTCCCCCGCATATGACCCAAAATCTCACCACCGCACCGGCCGCCGGACCCCCACCCGACGACGTACTCCATGGCGACGGCCAACAACCTACTTACGGACAACGCCTCCATCCTCACCCTCGCGTCTTCGAGCAAGCGCCGTCGCCGCCGCTCCTTTGACACGGACGCTTCGGTCCGCGCCCTCGCGCCTTCGTCCCTGTGGGGAGGCAGCCGCGAGAGCCTGCCTCTCAGCGTGCTGAGCGCCAATATCGACCCTTCGACCATGCCCCCAACGCCCGGCCTCCACCAGAGCGGCACCGCGGGCTCCTCGGCGAGAGTCACCACAGCCACCGCCGCCGAACGCACGAGCATATATTCCGCCGTCGGTGTCACCATCGGGCCCCCGGCCCTCCAGAGCGAACGCAACAGCCTGTACGCTGCCAGGCAGAGTATCGTCGGCGACGGCGCCAGCGTCCGCAGCGGTCTCCTCTCCCACGGCCCCACGGACAGCATCGGTGGGAGCGCCGGCATCGCGAGCCCCTTGGCTAGCCCGAGGGAAGATGACGCCGAGCAAGGAAAGCGCACTCCCCCAGGCGAGAGCATATAAGAGGGGCCACGGGGCCTTGGTCTCCGGAGACCCTGATCAAGGAATCAACCGCAGCATATCTCTTTTCCCAATGCGGCCCCTTGTCTTGCTCTATTATTATTGATTTCTCCTCATCTTTCATTTTGTTTAACATGCACGAGTTATGAGGTGTTTGTGGGATAACGCGCTCTTCTTGATTCTTTTCTTTCCCCGTCCCCCGTCTTCTGTCTTCTTTTTCCCGCCCTTAGCAACGCCTCCCTCTCCCCACATGCAGACTTGGATCTTTGGCGAGGAGAAGGGCACGTCCTAGTCTCTACGCCCCTGTTGGCACCGCAACCAATCGTCACTACCCCCGCTATGATGGCATCTTTTTTTCTTATTCCCTCCTTTCTTCCGGACGGGACAATGCAAGGAGTCTATGGCGAGGGACACTCGAGCTTAGAAACAAAAACATTCAAAAGAGAAAAAGGCAAAGAAGGAAGCATCAACCATCCATTTTCGGCATTTGGGGTTTGCTCACGGGTCACAGGACTTGGAGACCCATCCATGGGCCTGAAGAGACGGGGAGGACTGCGGTGTCAGCGACAGTTGGGAAAAGATGGTCACGTTTTCGGCCCAATGTGCAGGGATGGGGGCCGGGTGGGAAAGAGGAGGGAGGATTGCGCTGGGAAGTCTGTTCTGATACCCTTTTTTGTTTCTTTTTTGTTTCTTTTCTTACAAATTAAACCCTACTATGCGCTTCTCGTACTCATTGAATTATACCAATTTGAACTCTCCGTCTGATGATCATGGCTGCCGGCAAGAATGTTGATACTTGATGTCGATGGAACCAAATCCCGCTGGTAGTATACCTAGACAGCCAAGCGAAAAAAGCTACACAAAAAGAAGAAAAAAAACAAGACAGGGGCAAAGGAGAGAGAGGGAAGATAGGGCAGGTACCCGTCATCCTCGTTAGTACGGCAAAGCTTCGAGGTCCAGGCCCTGGACGGAAAACTTGAACGAGTCGTTCCTAGAGAAATGAGAAAAGAAGACAAGCATATACATTAGCTTCCGTAGCGGTACGACTCATTCGACAAAGAGGAGTTTGAAAAAAAAACCAACCTTGAATAGCTACCAGCGGTGTCGAGATCCAGCCTTCCGCGGATGCAATCGTCGAAATCCACGTCGGCGTATATGATGCCCTCGTCATCTTCCCACTGGGGCCCGGCAAGGACCTCGCCAAAGGGCGAGATGATGCTCGAGCCGCCCCTGGAAGCCCACTCCTGCGCGGCCTCGCCTTGCCTCTCGTGCGCCGTCTTTCCTTGGCCGGGCACTTTACGAAGTGGGGACGACGACGGTTGGTTCGCCTGGGAGACGGAGACGGAGACGGAGACGGGGCTAGGGGTGCTCCGGATTTAGGCGAGGGCAGGACGATTTCGTTGCCGTCCTCGAGGAGTACGGAATTCGTCCGAGGCCGGGTCGGAGGGTCGGCGGGGGCGGGCACGATGATATCCATGCCGTCGCCGCAGGGGATGGATAGCCGTCTAGGATTCTTCTTGGGCGCGGTGGGGAAACCGTCTTCTCCGCCGTTCCTCGGCGCCGGAAGGGCAATCTCGTTGCCGTCCTCGCACAGGATAGAGTTTTTACGTGCCCTGGGCGGGGAGCGCGGGGAGGCGCGGCGGCGGCGGGCAGGGCAATCTCGTTGCCGTCGCCGCAGGGGACGGATATCCTCCTAGGCCGAGCCGGGCTGTGGCGTTGGTGTTGGTGGTCCTGGTGGACGCCGGCGCCGTCTTCTCCGCGCGTCGTCGTCGCGTCGCGGGGAAGGGCGATGTTGGCGCCAGGCCTAGCCGAGGGTTAGCAGCGGCGCGGCGGCGCACGCACATGTTGGAGGAGACGACGAAGCAGCGGCCCTCGATGCCGACGGTGCGCATGAGGCCGAGCCAGGTGTCGCGCTGGTCGGCGGTGGGGGCGAGGTACAGGTTCACGTTTTGGGCGTAGAGGGCCTGGCGCACGAGGGGCATGTAGTTTTCCCAGCAGATGGCGGCGGCGAGGTTGACGCGCACGCCGCGGATGGTGGTGGAGACGGCTTTGAGGGTGGCGGGGAGCCTTGGGCCCAGATGAGGCGTTCGCTGCCGGTCTGCTACTTTGGTTCCCGTGCGGTAACGTGGGGCTGGTGAGATGGTTTGCCTTTTTTGAAATAGGGAACGGATAAGAAGGGATGGGGGTAGAGTTCAAGGGGGAATTTCGTTCTTTTCCTGACTTTTTTTTCAACGTACCGGTAGAACTTTGCGGCGCTTCCCAAGAATGCCGTTTGTAGGGCACACGTACACCACGGCGCAATAGAGGCTGCCTCCCGCCCTCTCTACGAGTCCGACGACGAGAAAGACGCCCGTGTCCCTGGCAATTCTCTCCAGCTCCTCCCTCGTTCCGTCCCCTCTCACCTCGTCTTGTTCACGATCCCGTCCCGCCCCGCCGCCGGGAGCCGCCGCCCTCTTGCCACCGATTTCCCTCCGTACCCAAGCATCGCCGGCACCGGCACCGGCGTCGCCGACAATGTCGCCGAGATCTACGGCGGCCTTGAAATACTCGAGAAACTCATCGCGGCCCTCGGCGGTGCGACCGCCCACGGCGCAGCCAAAGGACGAGCCGCGGGGATAGCCGCCGAGATAGGCTTCGGGCAGGACAAGGATATCGGCGGGCTTGGCGGCGTTGGAGGGACTCGGTGTGGAGGCGCGTTTGGCGATGGTGGACAGTTGAGCAAGCGTCTCTTTGAGGGTGGGCTGGGTGGCCGGGAAGCGGTAGCTAGGCGGATGGTGGGCATGGTTGGGCGAGTCAAAAGCGATGACGTGATGTTGGATGAGGTGGCGTGGAGGATGGGGTAGCTGGATGGGGTAGCTGGGTCAGACACACGGATAGAGCTTCGATCGCCGAACAAAAAAGAAAGGGAAACAGAAAAAGAAAAAGGCCGTTTAGACACAAGGAAATGGAAAGTGTAAGAGGAGGGGAGGGGTAAGCAACTAGTTGGTCAATTGGGCTCGATCTGGGAGCAGAGTGCACAAAAAGCAAGGGCCGGTAGGTCAATTGCTTCCGAGTTGTAAGATGCAGGCACTGGTCAGATGGGCAAGTTGAAGGAAAGGGACGTGGGGAGAGCATCATGTAAAACAAATTGATCCATGACAAAATGGTTCTACGGCACAGTGGGGGACAGAGGGACAGACTAAGTACGCCGGTTCGAGTAGTACCATCCGTGGATCGGTCGGGGGCACGGATTCGGGTCCATTGCATCAATTGATCGATCTCGTGCGTCCTTGCTCCGATGGCTTTGTGGCCTATGAAGGAAGCAATGGCGAGGGGTGAGTCGAATGACAGTCTGGCCGTCGTTTTTATGTACGTTCAAGTATCTGCTACTGCTATACCTGCCCGATGCGGGTAGGTGCTGTTATCACGAAAAAGAGGAAATCGTGAGCATCACATGTTTTGTTTCGATCGTCCTGTTCTTCCCTCGTCTTAGGGAGAAGAAAAATAAATAAAAAACTAAAAACTAAAAACAAAAGCCTCCTAGGCAAACTCCATGCTTCACTGTGACCCCTTGTCTAATTGCCAGCGTTCCTTTACGATGAACAAGAATAGAGGGAGCGCCACGGTATGCACGAAATACCAAGTCTCGAGAACGCCGAAAGGTAAAAATATTTCCAATAACAGCAGTGTTAGGATTTGTGATTGCCAGCACTTGAAAGGGTTTCTTGCCTCCTGAGTTGCTTTCCCACCAGTTCCGAACTCGTTGAAGGACAACAAAGAGCGTCCTCGCATGCTCCCTCTACCTCTGCCTCTTTTGACATGTCGTTATTTTCAGATAACATCCATTTGATTTCCCTCAAAGCCTATGTTTGCTCACCCCGTCGTGAATTTCGGCCTTGGTTCCAAGGAGCTCATGTGTAAGTGTAAGTGTAGATCGTCAAGGCCCGCTCTGCTGCCATCCCAAGGTTGGTCCCGGTGAGTCCCTATGCGGCAGGGGGCATCCCGTGTGAGCATCGAATTCTACAGACCTCGGGCATCGGAGGAGAGGAGGCTTCGCCGCCTGCCGCTCCATAGCCATTGTGCGCCGTCAGAGCCCCGGCTCGGCCACGGATCGCGAGCCTGCCGGTCCCGTCATACCCATTCCCTTGCACCACCGTCCATGCAGCAGCCCACTGCCTGCGTTGGCGTCGGAAACTCCACCGACTCGAAAAACAGGGTGACGAGCGACACGCCCAACCAACTAAGCCGATCCACGATACCCGCCATGGTGCATCTAGAGATAACCATTCGATCTCGTGGGCCGTGGGTCTAGCCGGGTGCCGGGCCGGGATCGGAGGAAAGGCGCGGTAACGCCGGGGGACAAGACAGGGGTTCGAAGAGCACCAAATAGCTCGATTTGCCGGCTCATCTCAAAGGTATCGGTGGTGGCACTTCCAACTAGCAATGCGAACCCACTAATAAGTTTTTATAAAAGTGTCCATGCCGAAAGTGGTCATGACGTTCGTAGAGTGAGGACATTCAACGCTCTCTATCTTGATAGAGGCAGGAGGGCAAATAGTGGCAGGAAAAGAAAGAAGGGAAAAAAAAACAAAGGAGAACAAAAGAAAAGAAGATGCAAACAAGGATGGCTCGCCCAGTTCGGACTCGGATGGCACCCGATTTGTTTGGTTTGGTGAGCTGGACGTGAGTTGCAAGGTATTATCCCTGGCCACGAAAACACGAGATGGCCGATTTCATACCGATCATGACATGTTTTTTTCTCGCACAAGCAGTCACCGGCCGCATCGATTCGGGCTGTCGCAATTGTCCTGTGCTAACTTTGACCGCGATCTAATCGTGGGCGCCGGCCGGCAGACCCAGAGCCCAGCATATCTGGCTTCCTCTTCATTTCAGTTGCAATCCCTCGCCGCAAAAAGGTCATGTTCTTACGGGGGCAGGCATCGTGGGACATTGCTTTTTTGGTTCTCTTTGCACACAAAAACAGCCGTACTTCTTCCCTTCATCGTTCAATCGCCCAAGATAAATAATGCCTAGACCTTCCTGCCCAACCCTGTCTCCCAAAAATGAACCCTTGTGTTTAGACCCAAGCCTCCGCCCTCAACAAAACTTTTTCCTCTCTCTCCAAACAAGCGTAAACAGCTTTGCATCCTATAGTATCAGACGATATCCCGCGACTTTGAAGAAAACCAACCGCCCGGCACTCGTCCTGTCGGGGTCTAAACCAAATAAACGAGAATAATAGCGCGGCGCGCCCCATACCAAAAAAATGCTACCCACCCCAAACCCCACCCCGTCCTACTGGACCCGGACCCCGGTCCCCCTCCCGGAGCACCCCCACCCCTCCACTCCCTCCGCAAACACCCCCACCACCACCATTGTCATCATCGGCACCGGCATCTCCGCCGTCTCCGCCGCCTACTCCCTCCTCGCCCTCACCCCGCAACCACCCGCCTCATCGCCCTCGACGCCCGCCGCGTCTGCGACGGCGCCACCGGCCGCAACGGCGGCCACTGCAAGCTCGTGCCCCACGAGGAGCTCGCCAAACTCACCCCGCGCTTCGGCCAGGCCAGGGCCGCCGAGCTCGTGCGCTTCCAGAGGAGGCACATCGCCTGCCTCGCCGCCGTCTGCGCCCTCGTCGATGCCCAGCTGGGAGAGCCGGCGGATCCGCCGCCCGACGTCACCGCTGCCGGTGGGGATTCCCGTGACGATGATGAAGGTCGCGAGACCGAGTTTCGCGACGTGGAGACGGTGGACATCTATCTCGAAGCAGGCTTGTTCGACGAGGCCAAGGAAAAGGTAGAGACGTTGCGCGCAGTCATGCCAGAGATTGACGTTCGCGTCTGGGAGCCCCCGAGGCTAGAGAGGTACGCTTCTCCCCCGAGAGAATTTCATTGTTGGGCCGCTTGGCAAAAGCCCCGACTAGTTCCAGTTCTCCTCCACCGTCCCATGCTAACTATTTTACCCTCGCGCTTTTATTCCCACTTTTTCTTTTTCCCTTCCTCCCTCGTAATACGCGACTAACATGTCCCCCACAGCACTTCGGCACCAACGCCCTCACCCACGGTGCCATCTCCTACCAAGCCGGCGCCCTCTTCCCCTACCGCCTCGTCACAGGACTCTGGACCCACCTCCTCACCACCTACCCCTCCCGCCTCTCCGTCCTCTCCGACACCCCGGTAACCTCCATCTCCGTCTCCTCCTCCTCCTCCCCTCCGGGGTCGCCGGATCCCGCCGCTCACCCTCCCTTCCACATCCACACCCCCACACAACCCTCCACGCCCACCACGTCATCCACACCACAAACGCCTACGTCCCCCACCTCGTCCCCGCCCTCTCCTCCGTCATCTCCCCGTCAAAGCCCACATGACCGCCCAACGCCCCGGCCCTGCCTTCCCCAGTGGGCCCGTCGGTGATGGCCCCGCCGCCGCCGCCGCCCCCGGCACCCGCTCCTGGAGCCTCATCTACCGCGACGGCTTCGACTACTGCACCCAGCGGCCCCGCCACCCCGCCGACGACCTCCTCCTCGGCGGCGGCTGGGCTCGCTCCTCCCACCAGGGCCGCGACGCCGTCGGCGACGCCTGCGACGACTCCGTCGACGTCTACACCGTCGCCCATCTTGCCGGCGTCTTACCCGCCATCTTTTCCCCTCGCTGGGGTCCTTCCCCGGCCCCTTCCTGCGTCTGGTCCGGCATCATCGCCGTCACCGGCGACGGTCTGCCCTTTGTCGGCCGCCTCCCTCCCGCCGTCACGGGACGCCTCCCCGCTGATACCGCACCCAGCTGCGGCGATGGAGGCGGTGGTAGCGGCGGCCAGACTACCCCTCCTTCTGCCGGAGAGTGGATCGCCGCGGGATACAACGGCGAGGGCATGGTTTACGCCTGGCTCTGCGCCAGCGCATTAGCAGTCATGATTGCAGGCAAGCAAGATGACCATATGCCTCCCAGAATCGGAGTGCCTGGTGGTAAAATGCAAGATTGGTTCCCTACCGAGTTGTTTGTGAACGAGGCAAGGCTGCGGCGCGCTACATTAAGTCTTGATCCCGCCTTGGTCTTCGCCCCTCCTCCGTCATTCCCGCAGTCGTGATTGAGGATATATGTTCAGCCAGCATGGGGGGACATGGCACTGAGAGTCGACTGTTGATGTCCCCCAGACGTGGGGAAGGGAGAAGAAGAAGAAGAATAAGAGGATGAACGAGAATATAAAAGCAAATAGACCAGAGATTATTCATACATAGAGAGAGTTTATTCCTAAAATATTTAGTCGTTTTCTAGGGCACCGGACATCTATTTCGTTTCAAACTACTGGGAGCTAGTACAGAATGCATCATTTGAACCTCCTCGCACTTCCCGTCCACGCCACCCGTTTACTTTCTCGTCCCGCACCAAGTTGTAACCACGGCAGTGTTCCGGGCTGTTGGGAGCATGGGTGTTAGAATGCCCTGCGCTGTACGACAAGTTTCGGACAAGAGACATGAGATCAGAGGTCAAGAAGAGGAACAGATCAAGAGTTGCGTTCGGTCCACTCTACGCCATTATCCACTCCATCTTTGCTCCTAAAGAAGGAAGAGGGTATGATCATTGCTCCCGCCATATTCTATTTTGGGTTCATGTGTACAACAAAGCCCGGGGATATTCCCTTTCTGCCCGCCAACGCCGCCCAGATGCCCTAGAAAACCCAGGTAAAGTAAAGAAAAATGACAGAGATAAAAGGGGAAGGAAACAGAGAGGAGGAGAGGGATTCGGGAACAGGGGGAAGACCAAATCAAATTCCCCTTCCCTTGCCGACAAGAGGAGGTGTGAGAAAGAACAGGAAAGAAAAGGAGAAAGAGATGAGCTGTGGTAGAGAGGTTGCAAGCCGAGGATAAGGTGTAATAGAAAGGAGGAAGGAAAAAGGAAAGACAGAGAGACAAAGAGAAGAGTTTAAGAAAAATGAAAAATAGAGATAAGAGAGAAACAAAAGAAAGCAAAACTAAATTATGGGGTATGTTCGCCATCTTCTTTGAAAATGCAATCGTCCGTCATGATAATAGAGCTAATCTGCCTTCATCTTTCCCGCCCTTTCTTCGTCCTGTCTATGATGGTAAGAAGAGCAGTTCCTGTTGCGCCCGCCCCGGCCCGTCCTCTGGTGTCAGCGAGAAGGAAAAATGAACATGAACAGTACGGAAAGGGAAAAGAGGAAAAAGGTGCCAAAAGGTGCCCGCTCCCCTTCTCCCCAACGACAAGAAAAAAATATAGACCAGAAAAGAAGATACTTGGGCGTAAGAAATCTATACCAGACCCGGGTCGCGAATGGGCAACCGGGCGCTGTCCCGCAAGTTCAGCTCGCCTCTTCTGATTGCCGCCACCAGAGTGGAGAGCGATTCTGACGCGACGCTCAATGGCGATGACGACAGAGCCCCTCCACGATGGCGTCACTCGCTAACGAATCCCTCGTCCTCGTCGTCGAGGGACATCTCTTCTAATTTCGAACCTCGCGCCAAAGGCTCGATGCCAAGTTCCGCGCGTGTGTCTCTCTGAATCTTGAGAAAATACGTCTTTAGCGTCGACAAACCACGGAGGAACCCTCCGTCCGGGTCCTCTGGGAACTGCGGCGGACACGGCCTGTCTTGAACGTCCGACGCCGCCGTGATGCTGTTGGCAAAGTCTGCGATCTTGAAGTCTACCTCTCGCTTGTTCTTCTTCCGGCGTCTAAACACGGGCGCGTCCTCCGCGTCAGTCGCCGCATCTGTTGTCGAATCATCGATTCCAGTGTCGTAATCGCTCGCCTCTGATGATGTGTCTCCATCATAAAACATCAAAAGACTAGCAGCGTAGAAGCGATAGCCCCGCAAACCCCTTACGATTCGTTGAAGCTCATCTAGCTTGCGCAGAATCGTAGGTATGTGCTTCAAGATGCTGTAATAATCAAGTCCGTTGTACAAGAATCGAGTGAGCGCCTCCTGGAACTCTGCACCGGCCTTAAGCCTCCTCCCCTCATATTTATCGCGGAAGATGTATGTTTGGCTGTGTGCATCCCACACTTGTAAACCACAGACGCGGACACCGAGTTCCCTAGAGGTAGTCCTCGCGCACTTGCCCTTCTGTGACTCGCGTTTTTGGGTGTGGCATCCACTCCATATTGGCGTGTTCCCATCTTTAGGTCCATGATGCACGGCCGCTTCATTCCAGCCGTTAGATCTTCTAGTAGAAGAAAGTACTCGACGCGCGAATCCCGCTGGGTTTGGGCCTCCTTGGGGTTGATGGGCCTGGGAATTTTGAACCCAGGTTCGTGCTCCGCCGCTTGAAGTGCCGTTGGCGACTGCACAAATTCGAAGTCGTTGGGTCGCGGGCCAACCAAGCCAGATGTATCGGGGATAGCGAGCGGCTTCGTCCCCCTGTCGCGAGGGGGTTACGTCTTCGTCCTGATACGAGACCTGGTCTGCCTCTTCGAAATACTTGAGGTCACCTCTGGAATCGCTGCCAACCTGTGGCTTCCGACGGAGGCCGCTCCTGAGTAACGGCGCTTGCGCTTCTGCGACATCACTTTGTCTACCATTGTCTCTGGCTCGGGTGCGCTCGTTCCCGTGACATCCTTGACTTCGTCTTTGAGACTCCTAGAAATCACACCCTCCATTTCACACGGTTGGCCTAGTTCAAACCGCAGATTCGAACCTGCCGGCGCCGGGAAAGGGGCGGGCGGTTGGTCCGATGCAATGCCTTCCGTCTCTAGGGCCACTCCTTGACGCTCCAGGCTTGCGAGGCGGGAATCCGAGTTGGCTGGTCGCAGCGGTGGATGGTTGGGAACGCCAGAAGGTCGTGGAACAGGCGGCCGTCGGTGGGGCCGTCGGTGCTTCTGTACGGCAACCGGCTGCTTCAAGAAAGCATCATTGAATACTTCGTTCCGAAGCTTCTTGTTGACCATGGTCGCCCCCAACTCCTCGTCCGCATATCCATCCCGGGTCGGTCCAGCGCTCGTGATCTAAAGGGGCCTAGGGCGCCCGACCCGGACGCGCTTCGATATCGAGTCATTGGGAAAGAGGCGAGTTCTGGCTGGAGAAGATGGCGGGGGATAATGTGCCGGTTGTCGTCAAAAGTTACGGTAGGAACCTGCATCGGCGTGTTTGCAAATGACTGACTAACGACTCGACGATGGCTAGTCGAAGACTGCGCCAAACTTTTCACCGGATCCCCCACCGCCTCCAGTGGAATCTAGATGCGATTTTGCCGGGGCTTGTTCAATCGAATTCTTGTCAATACCAGCCTGCCCATTTTGGGCTGCGATGGTGATTTTACGCCGAGGAAGCTTATGGAAAGTGACGTTCAGGACTCCGATATACCTAAAACCGCGCGTTAGTAAGGGGCCCAAAGCATACACTGATAAGCCGGAAAGGTCTCGGCAACCGCAGAAGAGGCTCCGACGTACCTCGGTAGGAACGAGAGAAGATCACGATGATATCGCTCAACAGTCTCGTAGAATTCATTTTCCCTGTTGTTGAGTTGCTTGCAGACTGCTCGCTTGGAAAATCGCCAGATGGTCGTATGACCACCTACTTGGTGTTTATACGGAATGAGTTCGATAGCCTCTAATGGCTGCTCGTCAACAGTTGGATTGTCGTAGGGCCGATCGTCCGGTTGCGCCACGCCGGGCTGCGCGGGGCACAGACCACATCACGCGGCGCAACATGCTCGGGTTCATCAATAGCCATGGGCCCATCAGAGAGCAGCGAAGTGCCACGCTCGGTAGACGTCTTGCCGTGGCGGTGGTTAAGACTCGCCTTCTGGGTCGGCGGGGTCGGGGGTGGCGTGCTATCTTCAGGCTCCGGCTCGCCTGCTTTGACAAGCCATGTCTTGTAGTCCTGGCTCCGCGAGTGCGAACGAGCCCTGGTCGCGGGTCGCGGCGCGGGGTGCGGCACTTTTCGTCATCCGTGCCCTGTGGATCTTGATGCGGCAAGAAGACAGCAGATGAGATTTTTCCTCCCCAGAGTCCTCTCCCATGTCCTGTTGATCTCTGCTCTCTAAACTATCAGTGGAGCCCCGTCGGTTGCTGGACGGCTCACCCTCAGTCTCGCCAGGTAGACGCAATTTCATATTCACATCACCCATCGAGGGCTGATCCCCTGGGGGCGAGCCATTCAGCTTCTGGTCGTGAGTATCTCCTTGAGGATTAGCTGGAGGTTTCATCCCTTCGATAAACTTGGATGCGTTAGAGAGAGGGGCCTGCTCCGCAGGGCAGAAAGCCGCTGCCTCGCTGCCGTTTATAGCCTTGGCGGTTACCCCGTCGAGGACAGACTCTGCGGCGGGGCCCTGCTCTTCAAAGATGACATCTTTTCCAGAACTTAGAGTTTGCGACCTCGTAGCCGGCCTGTCTCGGGTGTGGCTCGTCGCCTTCGTATCCTTCTTCTTTGCCTTCTCCTCAGGAAGGGCTTCCCGGAAAAAGCCTAGAGTGTGGCTAGTCTTGCGGCTCCGATTGTTAGGCTCGGCTTTTGACAAGGCCTTGGCAACAGACTTCTCCACATGTCCATCTTGATCACCATCCAAATCATCTGCGCCAATTGACCACATTTTCTCGGGCCCGAGGGAGTAACGTGTTTCTGCCCGTCGAAGATTAGTTGACGGAACCTCTTCAGACCCAGCCGGCTCTTTCCGGATAGGGAATGTCGATGCCCTATCCGTCGTGGTCCCAGTGGCATGGGTGAGTTGGGGTGCATCTAGACCGTCCGCATGGGAATGGGAAAAGTTTAGGGCCGCTTTTTGACGCTCCATCTCCCTTCTCTCCCTTTCAAATCTGTCAACGGTGGTGCCGCCGAGAGTCGACATGGTTCCGTGATTACCCAGCAACATGATGCCGGACGGGAGATTAGCCTCCTCAGAACAGGGATTAGAAGGTGCTGAATGTTGGGTGTCGATGCTAGAGGGGACAGAAGGGGTGGCAGCGTTTGTGGAAGATAAAGAGGGGGCCACAGGAGCAGCGTCGGAGAGATTCGCGGCCTTTGATATCAGGGAGCTCTCAGTTTCCTGAGACAAGTCATCTTGGCGATTACGTATGGAGAGGTCAGGGTCCAAGTCAGCTGGCGGGAGGGTGTTTGGCGCCGGGTGAAAAGGAAGCGTCAGTGTTGTACCTGGACCAGATGGGATGCTAGAAGGAGCACCGGCAGGTAGCTGAGTAGCGTTGGGGGAGCTTCGTCTGCTGTCGCAGGAGATGGGTGAGAAAGATGGGGGATACCACGGGCGGTTGCGAGTGCCTGAGTCAAGAGAGAAGAGCCATGCTGCCGGTTTGAAAAAGCATGGGGTAGGGGCCTTTTATTCTGCGGCGGGCCGGGATCTGAAGTAGCCCTCGAGTCGGGCATTGAGGGACGGCGAGTGTTATTAGATTGGGGCCTTGGCGTCGCAACAGGGGGTTACTTGGGATTGGGTCGGCATGCTGGAATTGAGTTTGGCAGCAAGGACGGGAGCGTCATCACTTGCAGTGTCAGGAGGGGAAGGCGCAGGAATGGTACCAGAAGTGACGAGTGCGGCGGATGTGATGGCGGTGGTGCTGGCAATCGACGTAGTCGTCGTTGGGGAGTTGCTTTTGAAGTCGCCAGAGGCAGAGAAGTGACTTGAGTGTTTGGAGCAGTTGCATCATCGAGGGCAGGACCAGGTGAGGCGGTGTCAGGGATTTGAGACGAGGGTGGGAGGGTTGATGGCGCGTGGTACTGGTGACCAGTGGGCTCTGAAGACACACCAGGGGACGGCGAGTTCTGATTGCATGGCGTCAGAGCCATAAGGCTTGGGCTCAGTGATGCAGCAGGAGCGGCATTCTCTCTGGCAGGGGACGGGCTTGACATGAGGTGAGCACCATCTGGCAAATGTGGCAGACGTGTGGGTTGAATGATTCGTAGATGGGAGGTTTCGCCAAGGGGGCGTGTACGGAGAAAAATGGGTAAGAAAAAGAAAAGAAAAGAAAAGAAAAGGAAAAAGAAAAAGAAAAAGAAAAGAAAAGAGAAAGCCCAGGCTAGGAACAATTGACTGGTCTGGGGCTGGGGGAAGTAGGTAGGGTGAGCGAAGGAGGGTGACTGGGGAGGTGTCTAGGCTGGGTTAAGGGTGAAAGAGAGGATGAATGTGGGACAGGGCTGAAGTCGGGGGAGAAGGTTCCACGTCGGTCCTTGGGAAGGTAGACTGGACATGGGAAGAGGAGGATGGGGTATAGGAGAAGGCAGGAGGAGTCGCAAAGGAAATGCAACCAAGGAATATGCTATGGGAGGGGGAAGTCACCCTCTTCGGTATCTTTCTCTGGCCTGTTCCTTCCCTTCTCTCAGATCTTGCTGCTGACCGCGAACGACAGGTGCATCCGACACTGTCGTGTGGACGCAGGAAAGACGCAGCTGCCGCAGACAGGAAACCCCTCGGAGAACAGGATGCGTAATGGATTGATGTGTGGAGGTGGGGTTCAACGCAGAAAGGGCGACTGCGAAGGGAATAGCGGTTATGTGAGGCCCTCTGTGTCTCTGATTCTCTGATCTGGGAGGGTGTGCAGCCAACGGGAAGGAGTTGCCTGGTGCGGCTGCTGGGAGAAAGTAATGGGGAGAGTAATGGAGGGGGAAGCACCAGACCACACCCTAGAACGAGGGAGAAGCAAGAAAAAAAAGTGGACTTGGCGATATTGAAGCGGATATCGCTTCCGGGCAGAGACGCCAGGAACTTCCGAGAGAGCAAAAGCCCACACTAAAAGAGCACAGGATAACAGAGGAGAGATATCCCACTATGCAAAGAACGAGTAAAAAGCCCTCCCAAAAAACTTCCGCTCGGGCCAAGGCCAGATAGGACAGACAGCGGCCAGATAAGAGAGATTGTAGTCCGAGATAAGGAAACAGTCGGTCTACAAGCGTCCCGAGCAAGGAATTTCAGGTGTTCTTATGAAGTTATGACGAGGTTTAACGAGATTCACGCCAACCCTTCAAGATCATGATATTTCGACCGACCGGTTTTCGCGCAAGCAAAAGTGTAGGGGAGAAAATGAGAAGAAAATTGGGTCTGTCCACACGCTTGGTCGCAAATGTAGTTCTTTTTGGACTCTGAAGAAAAGTTGAGAGATGTCGGAGTACATATACCTGGGCCTGTCTGTTTACGTTGGAGTGCGGGGCACTGTTATATATATGGTGGAGGGGGTTTTTTCTTCTTCTTTTTTGCCTTTCGGAATTTCGGGGAGGGGCAGAGGCTTGCAAGGGCACCTTCTCAAAGTACGCACACCACCAAAGAGCCGAATGCCTGTCCAGTCAGGAACCGGCCTTTCGAAAAGTGGCGCCAAGACGGCAAATAGGTGCGAAAACTGCTTCGATACTGTATGATTGTCTATCACAAGCTCCAAGCTCCGCCCTCCCCGAAAAGAAAACAACAGCAAGAGCACTAGAAACGTCAAGTTTTGGTTGTTTCGAGCTCACACCCCGTAGCGACAAGTCTTACAAGCTGAAGCAAAACGAGGCTCAACTTGCCATATCCCCGACCGACGATGGCGTTCTTGACCCATCAACATTGCCAGAACCAGGAAATGAAGGGCCGCCCCTAACACGCACCATCGCCTCACAGTATCAGTCGGGCAGAGCTGGCCAACGCCGCTCGGCCATCCTCAACATGTCCTGACAACAGTGCATACTATGCCGGAAAACACTGTCGTCCACCGCTATTGCCTGCCAAATGGAATTTGCGCTTGATAACATCGAAGTACCTTTGACTAGCCTCCTGCTTAAAGCCGCCCACCGTGGGGACTTGTCCCACAAGCCTCTCGTCATCAATTGATGCACCGCAACAACGACCCCAAACATCCATAGATCCAATGGATCCATCCATCCATGGTGGCCGATGAACAATGGATCAGGGTACAACACCAGAGGGCGGTTTGTTTTGTCGGCTGCACAGTTGATACCAACCCGGATGGTTGATTGCACTGTCGTGCAATTGATCAAGATGGATTCATTGTATCCTTTACACTTCCCCAGGCCCACTTCCACCCCCAGTTATCAATTAGAGATTGGGAATATTGGGTAGGTCTATGGATACGTTGTGAAGGAAACAACAGCAAGGATGAGGATGAATCGCTGATTGCCCCTCGGCGGTCGAGAACAAACATTGCTTGTCGTGGCGTAGGGGTCAAACAATGGAAATTTCCACGGTATTCTCTCCCCTCAATGAACCCTAGATTGTGGGATTCGGCGACAGCACGGGACCACCAGCGCAGCTTTCAACTCGGTCATGCCCAATCGAAAGACATCGTGCCAGAGTGGCACTAGTCCTGGTGCAGTCTAGTGCATCATCCACACCAAGATGATGAGAGGCTGTTCAACTCTCAAGCATTCAGGATGTGGACCCCGAGGATCGACAGCGATAAATACTCCAGCTCACCATGTTTCGTCTGAGGCCAGACACGGACGGCTCTGGTCTTGCTTGGGAGGGGGCAAGGGGGACAAATTTTTTTCCTGGAGGAAGATTCACCAAGCACTGATTCAGCGATATCAATTTCGAGCGTGACATCCCAATCGTAAAGTTGGTTCTCATCTTGCCGGCTATCGTTGGAGAGAGATTGGGAATCGCTGATCTCTGCCCAAGATGTACAAGTATTAGCACTGACCCGGTTGTGCGTTTCTCTTGTTTTCTCTCGATTCAAGCTCTGAGGAGCACGGTCAATGGCCCCATGACAACCTCTCGTGACTGACCGACTAGCCAGCGACAGGAGCAGTCGGGCTTGGAGGGTTGGACCACCCAAATAACTTCTTTCCACCTCCTGGCTTGCAAGTAGTAGTGTACTATTGATAGAGCAAAAGGAGTAGCGCATGAGTGAGAAACATTGATCACAGACCGACCTTTGATGTCAGCCCCTCAAAAATCAAGGATTGCCCGAGGCACCTTTTGGTCAGTTTATTTTGTTTTCCTTCCTACCCGACTCCCCTTCAGGACTCTTTTTATTATTACTTTCCATCTCAGCGTGCGAGTGATCTCCTTCTCGGCGAGCATTTTTAGTGTTTGCTATCGCATCGCCACCTGTTTCTGTCGCCTTCGCCCTTCTCCAACCACGGGGAGTGTCCATGATGTCACACAGTTAGTCTTAAATCAAGCCTCCAGCTCCGCCCCGTCACCATGACTCGGGCGGAACCTTGAGATTGTGCGTGTTCATCCCCATCACTAATTTGACCCAAGGTTCGTGACATGATACAAGAGAGAAAAGGATGAGGGAGAAGAAGTCCAAGAAAAAAGAAAGAAAAAAATGAATGTTTCCGTCCCTCTCCTCTAATGATTGATCATTCAATCGGGCTTGGCCACGCAGTCCAAGAGCCCTCCACCGAGAGGAAATTGGTATCTGCTTCCGAGGGCCGCTCTATCATTGGATGTGCATCACAGTCTTAGCCTATGTGTGCACCGTCGCACAGTTCATTAGGTACGCTCCGACACCCGTTGTTTCTGCCCGAATGGAGATTCCAATTGCACCTCGCTACCAGTCTGCCGAGCTCCAATCGCCTCATCAGTGCGCCCCATCCCGTGATCTATCGTCTGCTACCAAAGGGACTGGAACGAGTGGACTGCCGTGGCCACTTGGATGCCATGCCTCTGCAGTAAAAGCCGCGCCTTTTCCTTTGTTCTTTAATGCTTGCGTCAGTGTGTTGTTGCTTGCCATGATTAACCCACCTTCACCCAATTCACCCAATTCACCCAAACAGTCCTTATCTGCCTCGGACGTCTCTGAGCGAAGATCGGCCCCTCGCCGAGAATGTGACCAATCACCATTTGTGGTTTTCGAGCACATAGCCGCCTCCGCTCGGGCCACTGAGACGAGAATGAGGCCTCGATCCCGGTCGGTCAACAGATAAGACGGGTTGAAGAAGCAAATGCTGCCGTCCTGAGAGCATGATTAGGTCTGGCGAACGCTGCGTTTTTTTCTCCTTCCCTCCCCCTCCGTCTTCTCTGGTAGAGAGTTTCCGCCAGTCACTGATGGAGACAATGCTACATTACCATCTCGCTTCCCTGGACTTCGTTAGCAAAGGTTGAGACCTCGCTAGCAGACATGCTACCCTCTCAGGTTTGCTTGGCTTGCTTCAGTTCCATCCGAGAGAGATGAAGTGCAAAGTAAACGTATGGCAAGGGAAAAAGATGCATTATTTGACCGACCCCTCACACAATTCTACGGCCCTCTTCTCCATTACTAAATACAGACAAGTAGGTAGCGTAGGTCGTTCAAAGTTTAGCGCAACGAGGAGAACTCGCGGGACGAGGACGGGTGCCACCTCCCATGTCGAACCACAGCGAGCCATGGGAGGAGAGGGCGGCACGGCTCGCGACGACCGATGCTCGGATATGGCTCAAATCCACCCGTCTTCCTTACCTCCGTTCATGGGGGAAAGATATCCTTGCTGGTTAATATCTGTCTCTATCGAAGCTCTATCGAATCCATTTGCTTAGAACCAAGCAAGCTATTTCAATTCCTACAAAAGAGAAAAGTAAAAGATGGGCTGACTTGCCATGCTAATAGCACCACCTCCTTTCTTCATCCATGAAGCCAGTCACTCACTACAAGTACAATGCGATGAAATACCTCCTACCATTAGCATTTCGCGCATGCTTCCAAGCGACTTATCGATTCCTACTCACTTTTTCCCCCTTTATTTTCCTTCAAATATTTCCTTCACGCATGCGTAGAAAGTCAATGCCCCCTCTCCCTCTTGTGGATCATCTCACCCGTGGGACCCGGAGCCGTGTCGTTTATCTCATCCGTTCGTGAGCTCCAAAGCCAGTCTGCGGTCCGCCCCTCCGAGCACTTCCGTCCAATCATCTGAGAACGTGGCCACGACAAGGGGTTCGCAACGCAACACTTGAACATCGCAGACCTCATAAAAAAGAAAGGAAAAACAATCCACTCATTGCTGAATCCGGAACGAGGGGAATGGTAAGAACCACCGGAAGGGAAAAAGAGGGAAAGGCAAAGACAAGGTCACCTCTGGCTAAAGTACAATATCCTTGCACCGTGGCTGTCGAATTCCGGAAACCCTTGCTGCACCGGTGGGCACGCCCATCCTCCCTCCTTACCAAGATCTTGCATTGAAGCTGCCCTCCGCCCGCCGAGGCAACAGATTCGAACAGCTATCTGCGTGGAGGAATTCTTGGAAGCACTCGGCTCTCACCTCTTCATCTACTTGCACTCAAGATGAGCAAAGGCCCCCAAGCCGACTGCGCATTGTTCTCGGTTGGGACGGCGCGCTGGCCACTGCAGACACCAAGTCCCTGCTATCTCAAAAACAAAAAAAAAAAAAAAAGTGACCTTTGCTGTTCACGGACTCGAGGGATTTGTATGGACACTCTCTCGTGAACGTTTGCACCTTGGATGCAGCTCCTACATGCCGCTTGTGACCTACCTCCTCTTCCTCAGCAGCACGCACATGCATAGGCAAGCATAACCTCCTCATCCACCCTGAAGCGACGGCCTCCCATCTCGCTATCCGTCCCCCGAGCGACCGAAGGATCAATGAAAAGGCGCCAGCAAGGAACTGTAGCAGCAATATAGACAAGACTTTTTCGTGGCTGCGGGCCTGCAGCAACCGCGTGCTCTACTCCGGTAGTGGATCAACAATCGTGTCTTGAACGCCAGCAAGTATACATGCCCGAAATAGTACAACCTTGCTTTGCTCCCTCGCAAAATTATCTTGTCGATGGCATGGACTATCTCGCGCAGCTGGTCTATCACTTCTCATAATCTTCGCCCTTCCCCCTCCCCTCTGCTTGAAGCGTGGCGCCCGAGTTTCGGACACGTCGTTCATCAAGCCGATCTACACGTATGGTGGACCGGAGGCTTGGTTCCCTCGGTCCTCATGCCCATCTCCACTTGATCCTGAACGAGCTTATGCCATTCAGCCCCATCCGCGGCCCCTCGTTCCGGAAGCCAGACGTGCCATTGGACCAAGACAGGAACGACAAGATAGATGATAGATGAAGGAAAGAAAGAAAGAAAACAATAGCAAGGACGTGCAATAAGCACGGCCGGGGCACGTAAATACGGGAACAAAATCACCTGATATACAGAACCACGCCGAAAGCATCCAAGAAACTCTTGATATAGCATACCATGGCCATTGACCAATGTATGTATCTCCTTCGGCCGGGGACCATGGTCTGAGTATCAAGTAGTTGGGTCGCAGTCCTCGACCAGCCCAGGATCTTGGCTCCAAACAGACATGAATCCAAGACATGTGGCATTCTTCGAGACTGCGGGAGGGAGGGAGTGAAGACGAGATGTTCACCGCCGGGACTCTTCTCTTGGCTTCCCACCCTGGTATAGGATTTCCCCGCGGCTTCGCTTGATTGTGTGTGTGGGTGCCATACCTTTCTGGTCCAATTCCGGTTCCTATCCCGCTTCCCCAGCTGGCAGTTCTTGGTAAAGGTTGCGACTACTTTGTGGGTTGTTGGCGCTGCTAGAGCGTTTCAAGGTGAGATTTCTCGGCTTAGCAACGTGGACGAACAGCGGGCTCTCGAGAGATCCTTTCCCCGCAACTGGTTTTCTATTCGACCATAGGTATTAGAGGCATGAGTTCTACCTATATATCCTTGCCATAGTGGATGCGCTCCGTTTCTCAGCGCGCACATTGTAGCTCTCACGTCGTTCGTCGAGAGGTATATCAGGCCTGCCTCTTCCTCCCTGCCTCGCTCTCCCCCTTCCGGGACCCCTCCCCTCTTATCCACACACCCCCTCCCTTCTCCGTCCAAACAGCGTTCCTCGATCTCCCATGTGTCCTTCCCTCCCACCCCTGTTCGTGTGCGACCTAACGCCCGGCGGGGCGTGCTCACTTTCTTGATTGGACCAAGGGCAGAAAGCTCGGGAAGCCCCCAAGGCCCGATAGCGAGTCCCAGGAACCCCTGGGCTGGGAGGTACGAAGTGGTTGGCTCAAGTGCTAAAGCAACTGCCCATGCTTTTTTGTTTCAATCTCGGCCTTGTTCTCCGAGGATTCCATCTGGAGCCTCTGCTCACCGATAATCTCTGGTAGCAAATTTGGTTTCCATGGTAAGGCGAGGCGCCGGGGATCGGTGTGGATACCCTCTGAAAAAGAAATAGACGGGAAGATGGCAGAAGCAAGGGGGCAAAACAAGGTTTTCTGTTGAGTTGGGGTGTTTTGCGCAACTCTCCTTTCGAGAATCGACCACGTTTTAAAAATACGCATCCGTGGTAGCTCAGGACGTTTGCAATTTTCGAGAAGCTTCAACCGCGTGTTCTCAACCTGCCACCCTCCGGGCCATCCGCGTGGCAGCCTGAAATTCAGCTTTGTTCGGTGAGCTTCAAGGGGAAAAGGGGGCAGCCGTTAGAGACATACGTGTTCCCCTAGGGCTGGATCCCCTTCACCTCGTGGGGACGATGCGTTGCACGATCGAACAAGGCTGAGGTTACGGGTCCCAAGGCTGAGAGAACTGAAAGGCTCACGTGTCTATGGGGGTTCACAAGCCATGATTCTAGCGAGATATCTTCTAGGGAAGAGCTGGTGCTTTGCCCTGATGGACAGAAACCCAATACAGAAATAACGAGGAATGGTAGTAATGGTAGTAATGGTATCATCGTTCATCTCATCGATCTTGCATTTGCCACAATGCCAGTGGTGTCAAGACTATCCCGCCCCAATGCCGTTCTTCATGTATGCCCATCTCATAAACTCCTCAGCCCGCCCATGTCCTCAAAAACATTCCCATTAAATGACAAAGACTCGTAAAGAAGCTTGGGTTCACAACTTTCCGAAAGAGGGACCTATTGACCCAAGATATCGCTCTTCACCAGCCACCCAGCTCCATATCAAAGAGCCCATTACCTGACGCCGCGCCGACTGCAGTAGCACTGCCCAGGCTTGCCCGTGATTTCTCGAGATCCGTGTCTACATCCCACGCGTTCAAGAAGTCCCCGAGGTTCTCTAAAACCGCATCCACATCGTCAAGGGGCTCCTGCTCCAGGTTCTCCTTGTCCTCGCCGAGCTCACTGCCACCCTTGAAGTCGGGCTGGGGAACGGTCTCCGCGGCGACAAAGGCTTGCGCCATGGCGTCGGTCTTCGGGCTCCACTGAAGCCGCTGTGATGCCGGCGGGAGGAGGCACTGACGCAAAGGCTTCGTGCGGCGTTTCACTGATACGAAATGATTCTTAAAGGCCGCTCCGGTGGCCTCCCCATCATCGGGAATAGGGTCAGACGGGGGTGGCGAGGCACGGCTAAACTGCGACCGTGAAGACGTGGGGTCCGTTTCCTGAGACTCGAAATCGGGCTCGTCCGGGAGAGGTGCCCAGGATACTCGCTTCTTTGGTCGCGAGTTCGTCTGCCACGGGTTCTCCAGAGCAGCCTGGAGGGTACTGGGGGTCTGTAGAAGACGTCCGTTGGAGTCTGGAACCGTTGCGAATCTAGGCTTCGCCGAGGGTGTCATAAAACTCGAGAAGGACCGGATTGAAAACGTGGTGCTCGAGGCTTCGAGCGGGGTAGGCACAGAAGCGAGCTCCGGCGCCGGTGTCTGGACGTCGGTGGTGTCAGCCTTTGAAGCTTCATATAGCGGTATTACGGCAGCCTGGGGTGAGAGGTCGCCAGAGGCCTGATCTTCGCGCTGTGCTACAGGAGGCCGTTCTTCGACGAGATCCTGCTGTTCACTTGATATGGCGATAGGCTGAATGAGGGCGTTGTCTGGTCGTGAAGAAAGGAGAGGACTAGACATCCAAGGTTGTTGCTCTTCGATTGGTACTACTGCTGTTTGGGACGCGCATGCGGGCTGCGGTCCCGCGCCGGAAGCTATGACTTCAATGCTAGGCTGGTGTACGATGATCGGCTCAGCAATCTCGGGCACCCATGGGCTCTGCTCCTCTGGGACGATGCGTTTCTCGGGGGTGCTCTGGCGAGTCCGCCTCCTACGCTTACGTGTCCGCGAGCGGGTAGAAGTTTGTGTGGACGTTCGGGTTCCATCGTTGGGAATAGGGATCTCGACCTGAGGCGCAGCCTCCTCAGGATGCACGTCTTCTAGCGGCCGGACGCTACTGGCATCAGTCTGGGCGATGGACTTATCAGCAGGGACGATGTCTGTTCCGAGCTCAACCGCAGTCGAAAACGGGGTAGTGGCGTCAGTGAGAGGTACGACGGGGTCGCTAGGATTCGCCAAAGCCTTGAAGATGTTAGAGGATGGAGCATGAGCTTCCATATTAGTTTCCACCTTGACACATTCGGGTGTCACGGCAAGGCTCTCTCCATCTTCCCGCAGCGTTGTAGAGGTTGGTTTCGTAATTAGGTCGCTATGCACTTCCAGTTCTGATTGGAGCCTTTGGGTAGCACTCGGTGTTCCATCCGTCTTCTGTACGTCTTCCGTGGAGATAGTGGCAGCGCTATTATCTACTTCTAGTCCAGAAGAAGCTGGTTGAGGGGCTGGATGGATGTGTAGGGTTGCCGGTCCCCCTTGGGGGCTTGATGAGCGAGCTTGTGCTGAGAGGGCCTTTACTTCTACTTCTCGGGAGGAGTCCTCGGGCGCGGAGCTCTGCCCGCCACCCGTATGCTCAGGAGTTTCCTGGGCGTGGCAATCTCGTTCGGTCCCGCGCGTTTGGGATGAATCTAATCTCGCCTTCGCCTGGCCGTTAGGTTGTGTTAGGGATACCGGTTGCGGAACTACGTCCCCTTCGTCGGACGCTCCAGTCGTCACTGATGTGTCCGAATAGCAATCCTCGGGCGTCTCATGTGCCTTGTCAGCAGTCGCCAGGGAATCCGAACAGGCGTATGAGAGTCGTGCCCTCTTGTCCTCGGATCTCCGGCGGAGCCAAGAAACATCATCGGCAACTCGCTTTTTCGCGGCGTAGCCCTTGGAAGCCCAGAATTCATCCTTCACAGGGATATCTGACCGGACCAAGTTTCTCCATCTCTCCACCCGCGTCAGCTCGTCCTTCTCTAAATACGGGTGAGTATCCGCCTGCAAGCTCTCGGGACTAGGAAGATAGGTGCAGGCGGGAGCTTGAGCTTTCGAGAGGGGTGAGGCCGGAGAAGGCCATACTGTGGCAGCTTGGGTGTCACTGATACGTTGCGGTGTGGGCTGTTGAGTGCTGGTGCAGACTTGTGAAGATTCAAAAACGCTAGAGTCCCAAGGGTTCTGCCATCCGGAGACTGGATCAAACGGGCCTTTGAGACCCGCCGTTAGTATAAAAGGCGGCTTTCCGGAAAGGAACCGCTGCGCGATATGTTCATAGCGAGAGACAGCGTGCTCATTGGTGGCGGATGACTGGACGGTGGCTTTGACAAGCACTTCATAATGTGAATAAGGCGCACGGCAGTAGAGAGGCTCGAACCAAGGATCGCCTTGGGCGGCATAAGGGAGCGACATTGTTGGGAGGACCCGTAAAAGCGAGCTGAAGGTGCATTAGTTGATGGATGGTCGTCTTTCCGTTAGAAATGCACAATCTCGGGCGTGCAGTCGACAATCACCACCCTCAATTGCAGGCTTGGCTGAACATTCCTCGAAGTTCAAAGCGGAGACGAGCGTCTCTTTTTCGATGGTCCAAGTGCTTTCGCGTTACCTGGGAGACCAAGACGCGACTCTCCGCGCCTGCACGTGACTCCGCGTAAAGAGGTCCCGTTCCAGTCATGGTGACGGTGTTTTTCGGTTATTCGTGCCGTGGCATCTCAAAGTCTCAGAACCCCTGTTTGCTCAATCGGAAAGGGAATAAGTAGATATTTTTGATGGCTTTATAGGATTATTGTTTTGCTTAGCGATTCCGGGGATTAGTCGCGATGGATATTATCTACATTTTACTCGAAAATCATGGGCTTTCTTTTTATGCCGTTTTCAGAATTGAACGCCTCAAGTGTACAGGTTATATATATTGATATGCATATCGCGTCCGACAATAATAACTCGGGCTTTCAGTGAAGATGCGGGTCAATGCCAATTTTGCTCGTCTATGCTGCTTCAAGTTGTCTGCTCTCTCCCAGGCCCAAGGCCCCACAGAAAGCGGGACACGGGCACATCAAACCTCGATTCACATTCACCATCTCGTTGCAAACGGAGAAGTGAGGTGGAGCTTCCTGCTATTATCATGGATGCCGCGTGAATCATATCACGTGACACACAGCAAAACGCAGTCATTGGGACTCGAGATCCATGTTTGTTGACATAGCAACACAACATCAGCCAATCACAGCGATTCGTTCTTGTTGCCTTTCAACTTCATCGCAAACGCGAATGCAGCCGCGTTCCTGGACAAGGTCGCACTGAGGACAATGCAAGGTCACCATTGATGTTTTTTTCTTCTCTTCTTCAGCTTCCTCTTTCTTTCCTTTCTTAATCTTTTCAGTCGAAGTACTCACTTCCGGTCAGGCATACGGAATATATTTCCCTTCTCCAGCCCAATTCACAATAACCCAGAATTCCCCATTCGCCGACCCCATTTAGCACTTATCATCCGAGCCCCTCATCACATATATCACGACACTCCTCTCCGCGCCACTCTCGAATTCATGGAACCTCTATAACACCGCGATCTTTTCCTCCTCCAATTCCACTCTTTTCACCCATACACAACCGAAGCCATGTCACCCGCGTGGCTCGACTCCCTTTCGGAGGACTGGGTCTCGCAACCCCATCAGACGAACCCTCCATCGCCCACATCCAACCTCCCCAGTCTTCAAATCACGAGAATGAGAAGCCAGTTCACGCCAAGGGCTTCGGTAGTAGAATACCAAGGCCCCTGGGGGCTTTCAATAGCTCTGCCGTTGGCACCCACGATAGTAGTATCAACGTCCTTGCCGAGCGAAGCATGAGCCATATCAACATAACCGCCCCTCGCAACGGGGGCACCAAACACCAGAAGCTAGTATCCCCTGGAAGTCAACGAGGCCGTTTAGCTAGTCGGACAGTATCCGGCGCTACAAATAACTCCGTTATTCACAACACAGTACAGCACCGCGCTGCCAGTGCCTCGCCAGACAAAGGCAGGGGCCATACCCCAGAATGGAAGAAGCGTTTAATATATGGCGATCTAGCCTACGGTGAGCAGCGCGATCTATTTTGCTCCGCCGCGACAGGTCTAGAAGACATCTTCAAACCCTCCAAAGCAAAACGCTCCCGAGGTTGCCGACGATCCCTTCGTGGAAGGCGACAGCCTGCGGAATGAGACGACCCTCCCTTCCAGCCCTCCGGTCTTCCGACCCCCTCCTGCCTTTGACGAAAGCGTCATGTCAGAGGATGGGGATGACCTTCGGCACGTTGACGTCACGCCTAGTCCAAGTCCCCGCAAAGGCCCGAAGGATATACGGTACCGCATGGTGGATGACTCGATCGATTTACACAGCGATAGCGAATTCGATATACACCAAGACGCAACTTTTGATGAGCGCCACGAAAGACATGAACGCGACGACTCCCCGAACATCCCGATCCACAACTTCAGCCCCCTCCCGAGTCTCGAAAACCTAGCAGCCAAAGTGTGTTTCAAAACGAAGACTTCAGCCCCATCTACCTGTCTAAGCACAGTTCTGGTGACGGCCAGGTTGACTTCGCACCAATGGACCTCCCGGCTGACCAGCTCCGATCGAGGCTGGAAAATCTACGCGTAAATCAATTGCTTGTTGACTCTGTTGCGGAGGACAGCATTGCTCTTGATGGACCGCCCCCGCTTCAAAGAGTCTATCGCTGACACAACCGAGGATTATGTCAGGAATGGGGGCTTCCTCAACCTGAGGAGAGGGGTAGGTCGGCAGAGGGTTCCTTCCGCCACCGGCTCCTTAGCCCAGTAGGCAACGAATCGTCTGAGATGCTGCCAGAAGAATCCCTGCATGCCAGTACGCCAAAGCAATTCCCGAGCGTGAGGACCATGCCTAGTACCCAACAAGTATCTTTTGATATGAGCCCCCGGGTACCAAGGGTACCCCACCCTAGTCCGGACAAGAGGGAACACCAGCCCCCAAGCTAGTGGTGGAAGCCCCTTGAAGCTCTTTGGTGTTTACGATACCTTTACGAATCAAACACTCATGCGGCGCATCAGTCAGTTCGAGGAACAAATGTCCAATTCTTCTCAGCAGTCATTCCAAACGAACCCATTCCAAACATCGGTCAAGAGCTCGCAGGTCCAGCAACCTCCCGCGATCGGGAGGCAGCAGGGGCAAAGATCAGTCAGCCGCTTTGGTGCGGGTGATCTTGAGGGGTATCAATTTCACAGCGATGTCTCAGGCCTGTCGATAGAGGAGGGCGACTCGATGGCTGACCAGTTCGAGGATGACGCGTCAGACCGAGAGAATTTCCCTCCTTTACATGAGGAAGCCCTCGGTTCTTCGCCGTCGGACGCGAGCCAGCTGTTTGTTAGGAGACGGAGGAGAAAATCCACCACATCCGGCGATGATTTGCGGAACGGGTCAAGGTCGCGAAGTGCATCGATAAATAGTCACGGCTTTCTTCTCACGCCCAAGCGAGACAGCGGGTCGGAAGGGAAGAGGCCAAGAACGTCGCCATCAAAGGACCCAACCCCCAAGCGGCGGCGGACCCTTCACAAGTCTGATATCGCGTATGGCAGGGAAGAGGACGAGTCCAATGTCGACGCCGTGCACAGCACTCATCAACAGATGCAGGCTGCCATTGGCAAGAAGAGAAAGGATGCACGACCTGGTGACATGCAACAACTGGCGGATCCCGACATACTGGCAAACCGACATATTCTTCGCCCCCGCACTCCCACTCCTAGCCAGCGATCTTCCGTTCAGAGAGAAAAGGCACCCTTCACCGAGGGTGTTCCATCGCAAGGGAGCAAACTCAAGCGCTCGCCCATCCGCAATGGGCATGTCTCCGCTATCGGAGCATCTATGCTTGCCGGCGAGTCCGAGCGAAAACCCTCGATCAAGACGCAGGACTTCCTTGACGAGGCGGCGCAGATTATGGCGATGATTCGAAATCAGGTTCGTCCTGCAGGCCTTCCTATCGTCGAAGAGTCGGAGGCGGAAGTCAAGTCGCCCGAAGAAGAGCAGTACGACGACGAGACATGGCAAGACTCGACGAGGGAGCCATTCTCACGGCCGCCTAGTCGTGACGGGGGCCCGTTTCCAGGGTCGTGCCGACGCGGCAAGAAGACCCTGAGATTCTCAGACGGCTCAAGAAATACCAAGAAATGAGTGATATGGGAGATGTCATTACGTCTTCAATACGCTCCGTAGGCCTTGCACGAGAGGCGATCCGCGCAACCCAGGAAATGCAGCGTCACCTAGGCCAAAGCGCACGCGGCCGACCCAATCTCGCGGACATGGCAGAGGATGAAGAGTTTAGCGACCCGCCCAACATCCGCATCAGCCAAAACCCCGCTGAAGGCGGCACCCAAAGCGACCACAACACAGGCGTCACATTCCCGTCCACCTCGTCGGGCGACTCCACCAACCGGTCATACCCCACCAACTCCTCGCGGACTTCGGAAAACAAGAAGACGATTGCCCCGCACAGCGTCAGCCATCTGATCCCCGACCAAGTGGGGAGCATGTACTTGGATAGGGAGAACAACATCTGGGTCAAGAAGAAGGGAGGCGAGAAAGTGCCAATCAACATCCTACCATCGGAAGACAGCGAAGATGATCCATTTGGGAGTATCCCCGATCTCACGGTCGACATGACGCTAGAAATGCGGAACTTGAAGCTTGCGACCGCCCTTAAGCAACAATTACATGCTGACCTCGAAAACATCCCACCCCCATCGAGTCCCTTGAAAACACCAGCGGGAAAGAAGGGCTTCGCCACGCTTTCTCCCGATGCTGCGCTCGATGAGGAAGTAGTATCCCGCGCCTGGGATGAGCTGACGAAGCTCGAAAACAAAGCGGCCACGTCTCCCGCCCACGGCGAGGAAGACGTTGAGCATGAGATCACCATCAACGAGGGCCGAAACGCGGGCCGCACGCCTTCTAAACGGCGGAACCTTACCATTTCGTTCTCTTCTCCCGTAGCATCGATCATCAGAGATGTTTTACCGGAAGACCTCAATACGATGTCGGACGATGAGGGCCCCACCAACCTCTCAATCAACCAAGAGCAGTCACCGGATAGAGAGCCTACAGGCAGCGCATGGAAAGGCGGCAAGCCCACAAGCCACCGCAAGGGGTCGCGGGGTTTCCGACAACCGTCGTTTGCCAAGATGACATTCGTCCCCCGCCCAGTATCCCGAATCGACGAGCAAGAAGAGAACAGCGTCCTTAGCAAAGCAGACAAGCAGGTCAGCATTATCGGAGACAACAGCGTACTAGAACAGGTCACGCCCAACCCGCGACGCACGAGCGTCAGCTTCATCATCAAGGCTGCCCGGGGACTGGGCGAACTCGACGGCGATGCCAGCGCCATCATTGGGCAAAATGTGGGCAATCTTTCGCTCAGTCCGCTTTCGGAGTTCACAATGAACAATGCGGATCAGTCCTACGCCCTCGAAGTCAGCTATGTCATGGCAGACAAGCACCTAGTGACGGGGGATGGATCTAAGAGAGTTATGTCAATTTCGATCCGGGATTTGGTGGAACGGTTGACGGAGGCTGAGCCGTCGGAGCTTTTCTGGGATAGTCTTGTTTCGCTCGACCTTCATGAGAAGCGGCTCTCGAGCCTTCACATGTTGGACGAGTTTTGCGGGCGTCTCGTTAGTCTCGACGCCTCTAACAACGGGCTAGGCCACCTCGATGGGGTGCCGCCGACCGTCCGGCAGCTTCGTGTCAGCCACAACATGCTCTCCGAACTGACGTCTTGGGATCACCTCGCCAATCTGCAGTACCTGGATATTTCAGATAACGACGTTCGAAGCCTCTCGGCTCTCAAGAACTTGGTACACCTACGAAGTATCAAGGCCGACAACAACCTGCTTACGAGCCTCGAAGGCATCGACGAATTAGACGGACTACTCAGCTTCAGGGCGAGGAATAACCAGATCCAAGAGGTGGATTTCGAAGAAAGCGGGTTGGAAAGACTTCAAGAACTCGACCTGGTCGGCAACCAGATCACCTCGGTCAAGAATGTGGAAAAGTTGCCGTCGCTTGCGACGCTGAAGTTGCAGCGAAACGAGCTCGCATCGCTAGATTGCGAAGGCAAGGTTCAGGCCCTGCGGTATCTAGACGTCAGCGACAACAGGCTTCAGGATCTCGACCTCAGCAAGTTCCCCAAGATTCGTCTGCTGCACGGAGACAGGAACCAAATCTCTCGGGTCACTGGCTTCGCTCATGCCCGATACCTAGACAGCTTTTCACTTCGGGAGCAAAAGGGCAGCGAGGCGTTGGATATGTCGTTCCTCTCGAGCGCGTACGAGGTGCGTAAGTTGTTCCTCTCGGGCAACTACATCAAGAGGTTCGAGCCGCAAGTAGACTTCCTCAACCTCCAACTCCTGGAGTTAGCCAACTGCGGGCTGCAGGCACTCCCAGAGAATCTGGGCCAGCTGATGCCTAACCTACGAACTCTCAACATCAACTTCAACGCGGTGTCGGACCTGTCGCCGCTGCGGTTCGTGCCACGGATGAAGAAGCTCTTGGCGGCAGGCAACAGGCTCGCTGACTCTACAGCGGTGACGGAGTTGCTCACAGACTTTCCGCACCTGTCGCGGCTCGACCTCCGAGACAATCCCATGACGCAGGGTTTCTATCCGCCGCTCCAGGTTCTCGTGCAGGCGGACGGCAGCGGCAGCGGCAGCGCAGACGGCTTCGCGCTTCCCGAGGCAGACGTGAATCGCGATGCCAAGTACGCTAGTCGGTTGGACGAGGCGACGCGGCTGAGGCGGAGACTGTACGAGATTGTGTTTGTCAGTTGCTGTCGGCGCCTCAAGGTGCTTGACGGGCTAGTGGTGAGAAGAGAGGCGGTCCTGGCGCGAGATGACACGTTTGAGGTGCTCGTTCGCGAGGGCTTGCTCCCTGGGGCCCATGACATGGAGGAGGGGCCCGACGGAGGCGAAGCCGGGGACGAAGCCTTTGGAAAGCAGGACGCGGTGCCTGGTGGGACGGTGACGAGCCGGTGGGGAGCGGAAGATAGCTTTGCGTGAGGCGTGCAGCTGGGAGTAGCTCCTAGTTGAGCATACGTTACGGCTTCTTTTTCTCTCTCCATCTCTTTTTTCCCCTTACATTATTCCTGTTTTTTATTGTTTCCTTTTTTATTCCTTTTTCCTCTCTTGTTTTACTACTTGGCGCTACGGGATTATCGCATCTCTGTTTGGGGTTTTGGCATGGCTATCGGGCAGGGGGAAAATCATTCACGAAAGGGGGTTTTTTACTGTTTTTGTTTTTGTTTCTGTTTTATCATTTGGCACTTATAATGAAGCGACTCATTGGGAAGAAGGGAACGAGGACAAGTAACCATTGAGCGAGAACTGGTGTAACTTTAGATGGCCTTTGATTTTAATTTGCTTCCTCGTCTTCAATGGTTATGATTCTTCAATGTGTGCTCACTCCCACAACGCCGTGGTAGTCTGAAAAATCCCAGTAAGAACGCATCAAGACAACGACACATTACCAAATGGATGGGCGAGGCTTTACGGAGATGGGGTCCTTGTTGCTGCAGGCCTCGTTCCTCCCACCCCTCCCTCGGCTTGATACAACGCAAGAGAAAGAAGGAACAAAAAAACAGTGTAGCATGGACGAAAAAGAAGGCCTCGGTAAGAAGGGGCCGAGCATTGTGACAAGCGATCGGCGAGCAGAAGATCCTAACGAGGCAAGGGGCAAGGGCCGGATCTAGAGTTCTAGTGCTAATCGGGTTTAAGGCAACGGCACGGCACGGCAACAGCGGGAAAGCTTCTCTCCTGTAAACGCTATCTCTGCCCTCCTCCGGAGTTTCTCGTCTCTCCCAGCTCTCCCCGGTCTCGCGTCTTTTGATATTGCCTCGTTGGCCAATTTCAGACCATCGGTCTTGTGCTCCATTTCCACTCCCCTCGCCTGCAGTCCCAGAGACACTTAAACATGCGGGTGCGAGGACGGGGATCGTAATCACGCAAGGCGCGCGGCATTGGCGTGCCGGGGATCGTCCAGCAGCCGTGGTCGACTAGTCTAGGCCGAGAACAGAGTTCTCAGAAGAGAGGAAAAGAGAAGGATGAGGGAAATGGTTACGTTGCGATGATAAGACTGGCTCGGGATGGAAAAGAAGTATTGCAGGGCGATAAGCGGTAGGCTTTGTTTTTTTAAAGCATCAACGCGCCCAAAGAGAGGTATCGATCACCGACAAGCAAAGGCTCGGATTCAATGAATTTCCTCTGGTGGGCCAAGCTACGTGTTCCGGACTCCCTCGGCTCTCTAAAGGGGAAGACCGTCGGAACAAGGCCAAGCGACATGGAAGAAGCTGAAAAGATGGATGCCTTTGCCTCCCTTTCCCATTTTCGTTCTCCCTCATCTTCCTTCTACATATTCTTTTCTTTCTGCCCAACCCTCTTTATCCAGTTTCGTCTATTGGGAAAAGATGGGGGGACGAAGTATTTTGTGCCTTTGCTATCTCTAATTCCTCCATCAGATCAACCCAAGGGGGCAGGAGGAGCAAAGACAGCTTAGCTTGTTTCACCTGATGACTTGCTCATTCCAGGGCCGGAAACCAGCCAGGCCCCTTCCGTCAGCCATCGTAAACGGCATGAGGGTCGGGTTTAATTGAGACTTCAGGTCTCAAAAACCACTGTTGTTTGGGAAGTGTCGGAGCGGATCAACATCTACCAGATTTGTTTGGTGGGAATATCCCCGTCTCTGGGGATGCATGAGAATGCCACGCAGGCCCATTCCTCGCTCCCCTGTAATCAATTCAACGCCAGCCGGTCTTCAAAAGACGGCCGCAAGGCAAGAGATAGGAAGGTTAGATTTCCGGAGAACTGGGCGCGAGACTCCGAGAATTCCTGCTGCCCAAGACGAACTTGACCCCCAGCCAGCAGGGGTGGAACAAGCGCATTGGAGCCAGCACACCACCTTCAAAAACTGGATCCATTCGAACCGTCGCCCAAAAGAACGCAATCAAATTTCCGTTCATTTGTGTCTTCTCCTACTTGCGCTGTAAATTTTTAGGGTATTATATGATGTCTTTGTCTGGGGGATAATTTTCTTTCCTGTTTCCCGTTTCCCGTCCTCCCTCTTGGTTCACGTCATCTCGCATCCGCGCCAAAGTTGGCACGGCCCGAGCATGGATGGAGTCTCTTCCCGAAGCATCGCACTCGCAAGACCGCATCTCTCTCACATGAGAATCGTCATTATCGGTCTGCCGACCGCGCGAGCAGTACACTGCGGTTAGTGAGGGCGGGGTGGGTGTCGGTGTGGGCAGCCGGGATTGTTCCCCGACGCACAGCAAAGCAGAGGATGAAAAGAAGCAATATCAAGTGATGGAAGGTACGTTGTGGAGATCTGGAGACAAGAGGTTGTCCTTCCATGTAAGAGCAGCTAGCCCTGGCGGCCCTGGATTGATCTTTCCCTTTCTAGGGCTCCGTCTCAGTGGAGGTGTCTTAGAAGGCTCCTTACGCTTCCTATTTTTGTCCGCCCTCTCTTTCCTTTTTTTTTTCCCCCTCCTGCCCTTCTACCCTCTCCTTCTTTCCCTTTTTTCTTTTCTTTTTGCTCCTTCCCTGCCAACCACATGGGGAAACCCATCTGCATGCATGTCAGCTTTGTGGAGGGAAAGCACATTGATCATGGGGGAAAGTGCAGTGCATCAGGGAACAGCTATTTTGCCTAAGGACAAGTTTTCTAGGCATCGTCATATTTTGTTGGAGCCCTTTGCTTCGACACACAACATCCACTATTACTAGTTGTGCCTATTTGCACTAATTGATAGCACTGTACTTTAAGGTCTGGCTAGGCCTTGTCTCACAAGTGGTGTAGTTTGTACATAGTTCCCCGCCCCACTCGAGCTTAGCTTCAAGTTCTCATGAAATTAGGTATTGAGTCTATCATCGTCATACCGGTCGGTGCTATTTGCTTCCTCCACCTTCTAATAAGGCTGGCCACACACTGTCCCAAAACGGAAAATTTCGAAAGAGCAACACACAGACATTTCTCCCCCAAAACCCTCCGTTGACACTGACCCCGACTCCGAACACCCCTGCAATTCCAGGCTTGTCCGTGCCTGTTCCCTGAGCGTGTCACCACTTGGGTTGCGAACCCGTTGCGTTGTTGGCTCCTTGAATTGGGCTCTCCTCCCCGTCCCGCATTCCGTCTCCCAACATCCCAGCACTTGCATCTGCACCCCGTGACGATTATCTCATTGTGGGCAAAGTCCGCATTCGTGTTGATAACCCTCCTCTCTCACTCTCACCACCCTGGCCTTGGCCATTTTCTGCCTCATCTTCGTCAACAAATTCACGCCGCCACTCTACTTGACAAGCAAAACCCTCCATCCGACACCGCGCCGCACACCCTAGTTGCTCGACTCTCAACCAGCCAGATCGACCGAGATTTTCCAGTCCACCGTTCAAATTCACTTTTCCGATTCCGACGCCCACGCCCACGAAGCACTCCTTCCCGATACTCGATACTCAACATTGTTTTTTTCTCCTTTTCCTTGCCATTCTCCTCCCGGTGCCTCGTCACATATTGGGCTCCCCCTGCTTTCCGCTCGGAGACCGTCAAAAGCCCGCTGCGAATGTTCGCACTCTCACCATTCGACTTTCCCTGGACGCTCCGCGCGAGGTAGACCAGCTCTCACGACCGCATGACCTTCTCCGCTGATGACCTCCGGCCTATACCTCCGACGCGAATAGGCACCACTAAATTATGCTGGTTGGTGGCCATTGCCTAGCCAGCCGCCAACCATGGTCTCCGGGTCCTCTCCTCCCCTCTCCCTCGAGCGCTCTATCTCTCAACAAAGCTCCGCCTCTGTGAGGAGTCAGCGATCCTCCACCGTTCGCACGTCCAAAGCTCGGAAGCTTTCCCAGCAAACCACCAGCTCTGCCTCGTCTATTGCCGCCTCCGACAAGTCCCTGACCTCATTTCCGTCATTCTCCCCGACTCGCCGCGGGCCGAGCGCTCCAACGTTTTCGGCTCACCCGATTTCGATGTTTCTCCCGCCGCCCCCAAAACGTCGGGGCTAACCAAGACGAAGAAAAAGCATTCCCTGGTAGAAAATGCCACGCCCGCATCGGGCCGTCAAGGCGGTGCCGCACCTCTTTCCTCCGCAGTACGAAGTCTAGTTAGCGACCTCGTCGACTCCTCGACGTCGTCACCCCACCGGTCTCGTGATTCTCTTTTGAGGACTCTCCCCTCGCCACGCAAAGCGTTCCCGGTGCCCTGCATCTCGCCGACGACACCCACATTCAGAGGCTAATCTCCCGCCATGGCGCCCTCACACTCGTCCGCCAAATTGCCACCGATCTGGCCCAGCGAGATGCTCAGATTGCTGCCCTCCGAAGACGCGCCGACAACCGAGAGCGCGCCCTGCGCAAGATCGTCCTCGAATGTGGCCTATCGACCATGGATATGGAGACGCGCCTGCGAAGCATCGAGTCCGATATGCGCTCCAACGGCCTCGCTACCACCGGCGGGCCTTTGTCCGACCTCATGAGTGACGCCATGCAGAATACCGTCAATGTCGACGCATTTGGCCTCACCACGGTCCCCGACGCAACCATCCGCGCGAGCAGCCTGTTTGTTGCCAACCAAGACGGGTCCAAGACCGCGACCAAGGGCTGGAAGGAGTTTTTCTGGGGCTCCTCAACCAATAAGCGCCCTAGTCGCTCTAGCAGCACTAGCGGCGATGCTGCCGCGGCCCCCACGGCCCCCGGATCCCCAGGACCCAATCTGGCTTCGACCGGCGCCCGCCCCTCCAAGATGACTTGTTTAGCCCGCCAGGGCCCGACTCAGCCTCGGTGCGCAGCTCCAGTCGAGCATCCAGCACGGCACCTTCCAAGGACCGGAAAGGCTCGGCCTCCCTCGCTAGCCTTGCACTGCGTCTAGTAGCGGGAGGCACCGTCGCCACACGAGATGGTAGCGCAGGACCCGTGGGCGATCGGAGCAGATCAGCGAGTGATGGGATCGCCGTAGAAGCCGCCGGGGCGGTGTCTTCTAGTCGAACACCATCAGTTGCGAGCGCCAAGACAACCCAGTCCGCCCGCGCGGTTTCAACCCAGGGCGGTCCAAGGGCTCTTATGGCCATGCGCCGCACCGCTAACCCCGCTGCAGCATCCGCGGCCGTACGGGCGCTACAACAACCACATTTGCAGCAGGACCGGCGCGACGGGGCTGTTGGAAGCCCCTGGCAGTGCCAGGCTAGCGCAGCAGGAGAGCTATGGCCCCGTTGAAATGGACACGATCCTACCGCCGGAAACCCAGCCCCCGACGCTAACACAGCACACATACAATGCTCACGGCGAAACCGGCTTCTTAACGGACCGTTTCGGTTTCATTTACGATCAGCGCCGTAAGAAGCGCCAACGAGATGCGGCGAAGGTGAGTCGATACATGAAAACTAGCCGCGGGGAAATGCTCAATGGCAGGTCAACGCCTCTGTCGCCCGTGGCAAGCACTTCTGCCGAGCAGGCCACGAGCCCCAGGTTGGATCCCGCAAGTGACGGAGATCTCCCCCTTCCCCTCCTTCACTTGAAGAAGATGAGAGCCGGCCCAAAAAGTGGCAAGACTACCTAAACATTGCAACCTTTCCAACCGAGCTTCTCGCACACATGCCTACTATCAGCGCACCCTCACTTGAGGTCTTGGAAGCCGCCGAGTCCGTCTCCGCCTCCAAAGCAACCCCGGTCTCCTCACCTCGGACGACCGTGGCTTCGTTCCCACTGCGAACCCCACCTCGGCCATTGATAGCGGTGACACTATCCCGGTAGCTGTTCCGCCTACCTCAACGGCGGCGATATCACAGGCGGACCCGGATGTTGCCAAAGCCCCCAAAGAAGACACCGAGCCGGTAAAACTACTTTTACAGCAACTCAATGACGTTCACGACTCTCTCCAGCGAGACAAGACAGTGCGCTGGAACGACTTTCTTCGCAAGGTCCGTGCGGAGAGACGTCGAGAGGGGAAGCCGCCGCTGCTGCGGCAGCCGCGGTCGCGACGGCGCGGTTCGAAACGCCAGCAGTGATTCTTCCCGAGGCAAAGTTGACGGACGGCGAGATGATTGGCATCTCGGGTCTCGGGAACAAGGGCAAGGTCGGGCGCGCCAAGTGGAATGAGTTCAAGTCTCTGGTTCTCGGGGGCATCCCGGTAGCGTACCGAAGCAAGGTGTGGTCCGAATGCTCAGGCGCCTCGGCCCTGCGCATTCCAGGCTACTATGACGACCTCATCGCGCAGCCGACAACGGAGGATGATGCGACGGTTGTAGCGCAGATCGAGATGGATATAAACCGCACGCTGACGGACAATATATTCTTCCGAAAGGGCCCCGGCGTCGCGCGACTAAACGAGGTACTCCTTGCCTATGCCCGGCGGAACCGCGAGGTGGGCTATTGCCAGGGCATGAACCTCATCACGGCAAATCTCCTCCTCATCATGCCGTCGGCGGAGGATGCCTTCTGGATCCTCACGTCGATTGTGGAAACCATACTGCCGCAGGGATACTACGACCACAGCCTACTCACATCGCGGGCGGACCAGCAGGTGCTTCGACGGTACGTGCGAGAGATACTGCCCCGGCTCTCGCAGCACTTGGACGAGCTCGGGGTGGAACTAGAGGCACTTACCTTCCAGTGGTTCCTCAGCGTGTTTACAGATTGCCTGTCGGCGGAAGCCCTCTTCCGGGTGTGGGACGTGGTGTTGTGCACCAATGACGGGAGCACATTCCTTTTCCAGGTAGCTCTAGCGCTGCTGAAGCTTAACGAGTCTCAACTGCTACAGTGCGAGCAGCCAGCAGCGGTGTACACGTATATCAACCACCAAATGACGAACCACGCCATCAGTATCGACGGGCTTGTACACGCCAGCGAGGGCCTGAGGAGATTTGTTAAGCGAGAAGAGGTCGAGGCGCGACGGTCAGAGGCAGTGAGGATTGAGAAGGAAGTGATGCGTGAGAGAGAGGAGATGAGGAGTGGGAAGATGGCGGGGAGGAGGAAGGCTTCTCAAGCCGCGGCCCCCGCCGAGGATACAGATGCAGCCTCGACGGATGCCCCCACGGCAGGGACCGGATCATCAGCCATGAGCTAGAACGGCTGGAAAATGGTTAGAGTAAGGCTATGGCGCAAAATTTTGGGTGGGACAAAGGGTAGACAAAGGAAGAAAATTCGCAATTCATCTACGGGTTGGAGGAGTCTTGTACCGGCGGCTATACGGCGTCTGTTGCCTGTCTTGTCTTTTGATTCTCCTTTTTTTTTTTTTTTTTCCCTCTCTTTCCTCTTATCGCTGTCCTCCTCGTATCTTGCTACCTGGGGTTTTTCTCTTGTTTCTGGTGGGAGCGGGAAAGCGGGCTTTATGTTGTCATCATTCCTTTGATTCCGGAGATCGGTAAACAGGCCTGGAAACCTATGTCCATCCTCATGCTCACGTACAAACCATATAAATACCCACCTATACACACTCACTCACTTACCTACTTACACACACACACACACACACACATACATACCCACATAAGCACACGCACATTTTTACATATTCTTACCTTTCCAAGTGTTCAACCATCCTCCAAACCCAATTTTGCTTAGCTGGGTTCTTTTTCCTATTGTCAGAGATACCCTTATATGTTGGAAATGGGGGACCATGGCCACGGCGTCCGCAGGTGCGATGATACATCTACACCCGTGACGCTTGACGTGGAGTAGGCAACGACACCCGTTTTTTATTTTCATCTCTGGTTTTCTCCTTCGGCTGGTACTACTACCGTTTCCCTTTTGTTTCGCTCCATTTTCCTTCCTTTTGTTAAAACCATGTAACCCCGGAAATGCGGCACAAAAGGAAGGCCGTTGGAAGGTTGAGTTTCATGCCGTCGGCGTTAACATTATACCATGGCAGCAGCAGTGACAGACTAAATAGGCCGCTCGGAGTTGGTTGGTTAAACACACAATGGTGGGGATGATAACACAACGTACAATTTCATATCTACACAATTTACAGTGAGGAACAAGATAGTCATCTCTAGCCCCCATGACCATGACTAGGATGGGCTACTTGCCACCCGTCGTCTCCTCACGTATAATCATCTCAACTCTAGACTCCAATGTGGTCGCATCGCTTATCGATGCCGCGGAGCGACGTGCTCACAGCCTCGAGACCTTTTTTAGGTTCAGCTTGTCCTTCTCTTCGTCATCCTTGTGCAGCAGCGCTTTTTCCTTCTTATCCTCGACGGCGAAGCCCTCGTCAGACAGGTAGCCCCACGTCTCCCTATACATTTCGATCTTGAGCATGCCGTAGACGCCCGACTGGCCCTTTTCCATAATCTTCTTGTCGCGGATGAGCTCGAGCGCGGCATCCAGGCCGCCGAGGGCGTCGACGATGCCGCCGTCGAGGGCGTCCTTGCCGGTGAAGCGCTTGCCCTCGAGGACAAGAGCCCTGTAGGTGGGGGCGGGGACCTTTTCGCGAAAGATGGAGGTCATGGGGGCCTTGAGGAGGGCGCCAAAGTCGACCTCGTTGAGGCAGACAAAGCCCCTTTGGGGGTTCATGATGCGGTAGTCGTGGAACATGGAGAGCATGAGGCCGGCGGCGAAGGCGTGGCCGTTGATGAGGGCGATGGTGGGCATGGGAAGGCGAGGACGCGGCGCCACAAGGGGTAGAGGGCGTCGGTCCAAAAGGTCGGGGTGGAGGAGGCGTGGGAGAGGTCGAGGCCGTTGGAGAAGAACTTGGGCAGGGCCGAGGTGGTGATGAGCACGCCGGCGGGCTGGGTGGCGCGGATGGTGTCGAGGGCGGAGGAGAGGGCGTGGCAGAAGACGGAGGTGAGGCGGTTGTCGGGCGGGGAGGTGATGGTGAGGAGGTAGACTTTGGGGGCGGGGAGGTGGCGACGATGCTGCCGCCGGGGTGGTCCTCGAAGGACGGGATGGGAATGGTGAAGAGCTCGGTGGGCGCCATGGTTTTCCTTTTTCGCAAAAAAGGGGAAGAAGGGGATGGTAGTTGGTCGGGGGAGGGCGCGTCGGTGAGGCGCGGCGGCGGACGTTGAAAGAGGGTTTAAACGTAGGAGAAAGGTCGAGGTGGGAAACAAGAAGAAAGAAGGACGAGCGTGGGGGACTAGATGACAATTTGGGGTATTCTTATTATTATTTTTAAAACCGTTGTTCGGCATCGCGGGCGGAGCTGTGGGGTAGGTACGCTTGTGCAAGCCGAGCTCCCTGAGCCGAGGGACGTCGGCGTATGCGGGGACCCATTTCTTGGGACTAGGTCACTCTAAGAATGGCAGAAAGCTCGTTCTCCCGACGGCGGTACAAGGGGGTGGCCGGACACGGGGAACGGAGTTCTAGCAGCTCCGTTTCCGGTCGACAATAACATGTTTTGATGTTTGCATTTTGATGTTTACAGGGAAGAGAAGAGATTTATTATTCAAGAGGAGTATGAACAATTACTATCATCATGAAGAATGATGTATAATAAATTGAGACCTAAATGGCTTAAGCTCCTTGAGCTCAAATCCGGGATGGTTGATGGTGAACTCTGATTGCCAACCCCATGGTTCGCTCCTGCCCTGTTTCCAACTGTCACATGCTTCTTGATCGCCTCCCACTTTCCCTTTTCAGATCAAGCTCTCTAGGCTGCTTACCTAAATAGCCACATGGCCCACACGCTGCTTTCAGCCAATGGTTAAGCTTGATTTTCTGTCACTTTGGACAGAACACCTCTTTCCATTCTCGAGGGGTCAATCAATCACTGGCTTGCAGGTTGCTTGTCTCAAGTTGCGCTCAAGCTCCCTCCTTCCCAAATCGTGATCCCAACACCTTGGCACTCTACCTCGCCTCTTCACATTTCCAACCACCTTTTTCTCACATATGGCTCGGTAGTAGGCTTTGCCATTATTGCAACCATATCTAATTACATACACACATTGTTTAGAGACTTAACGACCGCGCTCATTCTCTCTCTTGCCGTGGGACCAGGAGCCCAGTCGCCAAAGAAACGCCGGGGCCAACTAGAGTAGCTCCGAACGACCAATCTTCAACGCCCCCACCGCGCCATCATGGCGGACCAAGATGAGGCCCAGCGCACCGTCGTGTTTTTCCACCCAGACCTGGGTATCGGTGGCGCTGAAAGGCTCATTGTCGACGCCGCCGTCGGCCTCCAGAATCGCGGCCACAAGGTCGTCATCTTCACCAGCCACTGCGACCCCAAGCACTGCTTCGATGAGGCTCGTGACGGTAACTGACCCCATCCCTCTTCCTCTGTCTAACCGACCCTAGCCCCTCCGGTACACTAGGTTCAACTCATCGAAAACTAACAATCCGACCCGTCCTATCTAGGAACGCTCGACGTCCGCGTAAGAGGCAACTACCTCTTTCCCGCCTCCATCCTCTCCCGCCTTACCATTCTCTGCTCCATCCTCCGTCAGCTACACCTCCTCACACACATATACCTTACCCGGGAGCTGAAATCCCTCAACCCTTCCTTTTTCATCGTCGACCAGCTCAGTGCCGGCATCCCCTCCTCCAGTACCTATGGCCCACCGCCCCGATCCTTTTCTACTGCCACTACCCCGACCTTCTCCTTGCCCGCGGCCGTGACCGCCTATGGAAGAGGCTATACCGCGCCCCCTTTGATTTCCTCGAGCAGTGGAGCATGTCCTTTGCCACCGCCGTCGCCGTCAACTCCGAGTTCACCAAGAGCGTCGTCAAACAGACGTGGCCCAACCTCGAGAAGACTACCGAGCTCAGGGTTGTGCATCCCTGCGTACCTATTGATGAGGTTTCTCTCCAACAGCAGCGCAAGCGGGGCGGCGGCAAGACGAAGATGATCACCGCTAAAGAGGTCGATCATGCGGTAGAGGAGATTGTGGACTGGAAGGACGACAAGATTATTCTGAGTATCAATCGCTTCGAGCGCAAGAAGGATATTGAACTCGCGATCAAAGCTTTTGCCGCCGTGCCAGAGAGTAGGCGTCAAGGTGTGCGCCTTGTTATTGCCGGTAAGTCATGAACAGACCGACCCCACCCCCATCCCCCAAAAATAACTCTCGTCCGCCTCGCCCAATCTGTGGTACACAAGCGGACACTAGCTTCATCTACCGCAACGACACGGAAGTCAACCCCAGTGCTAACCAAGGCCCCGCCCAGGTGGTTACGATCCTCGCGTTGCTGAAAACGTCGAATACCATGCCGAGCTTGTCCAGCTCGCCGAGTCCCTCAACCTTGAGACCATGACAGCCAAGACGGTCATCACTGCTCTCTCTGCGCCAGCTTCCATCCCCGTCCTCTTCCTCCTCTCCATTCCAGCCTCCCTCAAGGACGCCCTTCTTCGCTCTGCCCGACTTCTCGTCTACACGCCGTCCAACGAGCACTTTGGCATCGTACCCTCGAGGCTATGCTCGCAGGCGTCCCCGTGCTCGCTGCCAATAATGGGGGCCCAAGGAAACCGTCCTCGATGCCGCCACGGGCTGGCTCAGAGACCCCACGGATATCCCCGCCTGGACCGCGGTTGTCGACCGCGTCCTCAACGACATCGGTCCTGCACAGAGAGAGCGTATGCGTCTCGCTGGCATCGCGCGCGTCCACAACTCGTTTGCACGCACCACCATGTCTCAACGAATTGAGCAGATCCTCGACGACATGGAAAAGTCTGGGCCCAGAAGGCCTCCCATCTTCAACGCCATCATGAATTTTGCCGGTATCGCTCTTTCCTTTTGGGTTGGCTTGCTGGTCGCGCGGACTTTTGTCCCAAGTCCGCAAAGAAAGGTGGCATAAGCAAGACTGCACTTGGCTTCCCACCGCTGTCTCTTTTTTACCCTTTTTCCCGGAATCTTGGAAGAAACGAGCTTGTCCTTGCTTTCTTTACCTGTACTTCTGTAGCACTTCTAGCACACGCGATTTCTCTTGAGCATAAACCCTTAGGTCGATGGGAGAGGTCGAAAATTTTCTCAATGGGGTTGGTGGCATTGTTGAATACTGCTCTGCGCTTGGCAAGCAAGGTGTTTGGGACGGTTTTGTACGTAGATATGCGTTTATTTGAGCAATGACCTTGTCGTTCTCCATTTTCTTCACTGTACTGGCTTGTCTCTTTTTTTCCGTCTTCTCCAACAGCAAAGTTCACCAGCGTAGAATTTAATGCAGTACACGGCTCATTTGAGGACCCAACAGAAGCGTGTGGGAAGAAGGAAAGAAAACTAGTATTGTAGAATAAGCTAATGAGCTAATGAGCTGTATGGCAGGAAAGAGAGTCCTCCGCAATCGCGGCGCTCGTGGACTCGGACGAGCAATGCTCCAAGAAACCAAAAAATATCGAGTCGATAAAATGAGAAGAAATGAAAAACCCTTAGAATGGGGAGCTAGAGGAAATAGATGAAAAGAAATAGATACCCCAATCCCAATGCCTGAAAAATGCCTAAATGATATTGATTTGTGTCCGTGCCACCATTGCTAGTGTCAGAACTTCTACTCGTTCCATGTTCTTTCGGTATATCCTTCGATGATGACCCATTCCTTCCCTTCCCCCAAAGCCATCAACAACTCGGAGTTGAAATAAAAGCAACTCCCTTTCGAATCCGTTCCCAAAGGTAGATGAACGCCCAAGCAAATGTGTGAGTATGTGTGTGTGTGTGTGTATGGATCGACAATCTGTCTGGCAAGGAACCCCCAAACCTCGCAAAGGTAGGGGGCTGGTGCAAACTTATTTGAGAACCTCCGCTGCAAAGTTGAGCGGAGCGAGACCACGGTAAGCAGGAAGAAGGAAGTGCAAGAGAAAAGAACAGGTACACGAGAGATGAGGGACAGGGAGAAAAGAGGAGCAACAAAGGGGCAAAGACAACAACCCGGCATGTCTGTCGGCTCCATGCCTAAACGAGTTTGAAAGAAATCGAGATCTCTCTGTTCAAGATTGTTTGTCCATCCCACCTGAGCGAGCAAAAATCCTACACAATGCGGCCATCTGGTCAAGGGACACTTCCCTCAACTCCATGCTCTCCCCGTCTCCAATCGATGCAAACGGGTAAAGATATATACATACAATTTGTCGACCATACTCCATCTGTCATGCTAAATGGCTCCTTGCCAGAACAGTCGGCGGACATGGAAAAAGAAAATATGGGCCTCCTCCCCTTGGTATCACATCCCGCAGGATCCCCCAATGATGCAAAAACCGACTCCGAGAAAGAGATGGGGGAAAAAACATGATGAATAGAACACCTCCTCCGATGCGCCCCATCATAACCTCGCTAGGCCTTCCCATATGCTTCCGGCCTCCCATACCGAGAGACGAAGTTCATTAAATGTCTTGACTCCTCCATTTACTCCATCACCCGCGGAGTCAACGGCCACGCCAGGACAAGGGGATGGAGTGCAACAACTTCAAAGGAAATGTATCGTGATAAAAAGACAACTGATGAGAATATGCAAAACAAGATGAAGACTAGAGAAGCACAACTTGTAACACAGCACCGGCCAAGTGGGTGTACATGTGAGCATGTGTGCATCTGTATGTGTGTGTGTGTGTGCGCGCGCGCGTGTGTGTGTGTGTATGTGTGTATGTATGTGTGTGTATGTGCGTGTGTATGTGTGTGTGGAGAGTGTATATGAAGAAAATGTGCTTCATTGGCCGGTTTTCCAGTCATGGTTCGACAAAAAATCCGCCGCTGATGGATAGGCCGCAAGCGTTGGCTATCAATGCTCATGCATTCTCGGCAGGAGGGGTCGCATCCACGCTCATCGAGCTCGTGTTCGCATCATGTCTCTTTGACATAGATGTGTGTCGGCTACGAGCAGGTTGTATGCAAGGCTTCCGTCGCTTGCTCACCATGGTTAAGCCTTCGTCGCTGTCGCTGTCGTCATCATCATCGTTATCCTCGCGATCGCTTTGATGTCGGGCCGGTGCTCTGTACCCCACGTCACTGGTAGATGTCCCCATTGTATCCGGGACCACGGATACGGGAATGATGCCACTATCAGCTGAGCGAGATGACCCCAAAGCCATCTCCAAGGGGAATCCAGCCGCTGGCTCCTTCCCGATCGCGGGCGGTGTGAGAGAGTCGGTAGTCTCCAAGAGATTAGGGTTGGCGCTGACAACGCCAGGTCGACCGAGAAGCTCAGCTTCCATATCTGCAGATACGGAGCTTGCACCGCTAAGGAGCGCCGGCAACGAGGGATCTGACTGGAAGGCCAGTATCCGGTCACTAGAGATATTGGCGGGATCGGCGGCCTTGGTGCAAGGTGCAATGCTCAGCTGCTCGTCGGGGCTGGAAACTGATGACACAGAAACATCCATAGATGTAGAGGACATGCCAGAGGATTCAGCTAGTTCCTTCTCGGTTGCGGCCGAGGGAGGCCTATCATGGGCTACTTCCTCGGCTGCGGCCCGAGGCTCAGTGTCGACCAAGACATCGGGTTCGTGATGATAGTTCGCTGTCGATGCCTCCAGAGGATGAAATTCTCGAGTTTGAGCCTTGACGGATGTACCCGTCTCGTAGAAATCCGAAGATCGCCTATGAATTGCGGTGAGTAGACGTCGAGCAGTAGAGGGCCGTTCGTGAGAGTCCATTGAGCGTCGCTTCTCAACAATATTGGGCTCCGAGTTGGAATGCTGATGATGCTGGTAGCCATGCACGGCGCTGGACGAGAAAAGCATCGGCGACGGGAGAGGTGACGGGAGAGGCGAGCCTGGCTGAGCCGGCACACTGATGTAACCCAATGGCCGTAGCTGCTGGGTTAAGAGGGATTCCCGCCTGGGGACAGCAGCCGCCGCCTCAAACGCGTCAACGGAACGAGCGCGCGGGGACCCGGTAACGGAAGCGGGATCCACGCCCCGGGTAGTGCGGTTATCGTCTTGCTGGTCGGCATCCGAGATGGCAGCATTGTCAGGAATAGTGGACAAGTACGACGGGTCTATGGACATTGACTTGGCATGAGCGTGTCTGTACGATTTATAGGTGGGTGGGGGCGTTGCAGAAAATCGAAAACGAGCAGAACTGGGGGATTCAAGGTGCCGCGAGTCGAAGCCGTGAGCTGTAAACTTACCGGGCCCTAAAATTGTGGCCAGCGGGTCATAGTTGGAGGGGTCCTGGGGAGTAACCGGATGACTGCCAACGGCCGTCGAGTGAATGCGGGGGAACTTGACAGGTAATCCTGATGATGCGATGGGGGATGACGACCATTCCCAGAAGCATAAGGGGTAGACGGCACCGAGGCCAAGGCATCCCCCGAAGAGCTGGCTACGCTGCTCGCGGCCCGGCGACGTCCACGGCCGTCACCACGCTCGACTAAGGGCCCGACAACCTTCGCAACCGTCTTGCGCATCACAGATCTAGCCCGCTGGAAGAGAGTAAGAGGGACAACGGCATCAGACATTTCGTTCTCGTTAACTTGAATCTTACGGCCGAATGACGGTTTCGCTGGGTCGGTCTCGTCTAGCCAGTTCATCAAGTCGGGAATCCCTTCTACCACCCAAGGGTGGCGCTTGATCTCCCGAAGTCGGATACGTTTTTCAGGGTCCTTGGTGAGCATGCGTCGCAGGAGGTCCTCAAGCAAGTCACCAACGTCTTCGTGAAGAAGCTCGTTGTCATCCCTGTACGGGTGACTATTCTGCCTTCCATAAAGCGATGTTACATTCGGGGAGGTTGACGGGTCGACGGGTAGGAGGCGGCGACGAGGGATGTAAACACTGTCGTTGGCTATCTTCCGAAACATTTGAAACTCATCTTCTGCGAGGAAGGGTATGCGGGCGTAGATTAGGCAGTAGAGGGTGACGCCGAGGGACCAAACATCAATCTGCTCCGACACCTTGGGTTGTGCCTTATCGGGATCTGTATAACAAAGCTCAGGGGCGAAGAAGGCTGGAGTGCCAACAGTCTTGGCGAGTTCTAGATCATCGTCGAAATCCTTCGCTTCGGATTCGGATACGGTCTCGTCAGGCTCGCCATCTCTAATGGGGCGGCCGAAATACGAGACACCAAAATCCGAAATCTTCACGCGGTGGTCCCTTGTCCATAACAAATTCGCGGGCTTGATGTCACGGTGGACAACACCTTGGTAGTGCAGATATTCCAGCCCTAGAACGGTATCCCTGAACGTCCGCCTGGCCTGGTCGATGGTGAAGCAGGGAACATACGAGTAGTCGTCGACAAAGGGGTCGTGAGGCTGCTGGTTGAAGTCGAGGGAAGACATGTGCGAAATTATTGAGTCGGCCATGCTGGGAGACCTAGCACGGTGGTCGATGGGTTCTTCGCCCGTGTAAGCACCATACATGGTGCCATCAAGCATAACGGACGAAGTCGAGTTGGAGAGGGGCTGGGTATCGTTCGCGTCGTCATCGGTTTCGTCGTGGATCGCCGAATCCATGGGGAAGGCGGCAGGGCTATAAGGCCCCATCGACTTGACTGATTGCGACCGTGAGGGAACTCTGGAGCTGTTGCGCGAGTGGTAAAGCGAGCTCGGCATCGATGTCCCCGCTCGCTCCATAAACGCCAGTTCCCGGTGTGAGTTGATACGAGAGCCAGGCTGGGACTCGTCTCCGGCACCGTGCTCAATACTCCAGTGCTCGTGAGTCCCGGTATAGGCCTGAGACATCTTTTGCCTCTTGAGTTCCTTGAGGGCTTGACGGCGCTCCAGAATCTCGTTGTATTTCTCCTCCTCAGGTGAGATCTGGTCACCTCTCATTTCGCGCTCGACACGGCGCCTTTCAAGTTGGCAGATGTGGGGCAAGCCCTTCTTCCTCCAGACGATTTCGCCAAGTTCCACGTGCTCTAGAACCATGTAAATTTTGCGGAGTTCGGGGTCATCGATAATCTCGAGAAGGGCAACGACATTAGGATGGCGGATCTTCTTCAAGATGGCAATCTCCCGTTTCGTCTTATCTTGTTGCGACATTGCGGCCATGACTTTGCCAAGACGCCTCTTCTTGGAGAACCGGGGAATAATCTTAATTGCCACATTGTCGCCTGATTGAATATTGCGAGCAAGCTTGACTTTGCCATGCATGCCACGGCCGATCTCTTCTATAACCTCATACTGGTTAATGAGTTTCCGGCCGGTGGTGGTATCGGAGTCGATGTTGGCCTTATGCGTCCTACAGTCATCGAGGGTCAGTACACCTTAAGCTCCCAGAGGGGCATGCCAGGGCCAGCAATGCAGCCGGGTGGCTAAGCATTTCGCGGTCAGAGGAGCCTTCAGCGTTAGGCGGGGGCAAGCGGAATAGGCCCATTCGAGAGCTCTGCTCTGCGGTTCCCCTGCCTGCTACTTGCGCCGGGAAGAATACAAATCATAGAATGTAAAAGGGAGTCGCAATGAAGCCGCCACTTACTCTCGCACTTGATGCTGTTGCAATGGGTGTAGAAATGGGCTAGGGCTCTCTACTGAAGGGGTGGTAACCTCTGAGGCAGAATAGAGATGATGTCCGTTATTCGGTCGTGGATTAGTAGGGCTAAAAGGCCCGGGGAAGACACGGGTGTGCTGTTGGCAGTCCGTGAGGGGTGGTGTTGGAAATGATGGATCGAGGAGGTAGTCAGTGGTGGCGCCGAGTCGGACTGGGTTAGATTGGTGCGAATCGAACGGAGCTGTTGCGAAGAATCATGCTGAGACCCCATTTTGGGCAACTGAATTCCTGTCCGAATGGACACAAGTAGAGCGTGGGTCCCTTGGTGATCGTGATTGCTTGAGTGTTGGTGATGCTGCTTGCGCAGCCAGGAGCACAGCGAAGGCGGGGAGGGGGTGGCCGCTTCGAGAGGGGAGTCTTAAGGGCACATGTCTTCTGTCGGGGAACTCGGTCGTCCTCGTCGTGACGGCACGGTGGTTCAGCCGGAATAAATCGAGCAGCAAGGTCGTTACGTTCGCAGATCCAAATCAAACAAGCAGAAGAGAAAAAGAATAAGATCGAGGTGACGAAATGAAGAATAAACTTGTCGAGAAGATGAGTAAAAAGAGATGACTGAAGAGAAGAAAAAAAAAAAAAGCAGGTCGTGTATAAAAGTTTCAGGTGGTGGATGGCCAGGTCTCTTAAGAGAAAATGGTGGGAAAAGGGAGAAAAATAATATGCCAGACGCCCAAGGTATTTGAGGCAGGGACTGAAAGGCGGCAGGACTGGTCAATGCCATCGAAAGAGGGGGGAGAGGCGTCGATGGGAAAGAGGCAAGGGTTGACAAGTACAAGAATACTCCGTCAATCGTCAATCGGCAAGGATAGACAGGGCCAAGGGCGAAAGAGCGAGGGACGATGGAACTTGGAAAACGGCAAGGGCCATCAAGGCTTGTACCCAGGTACCCGACTACTCCTCTTGAGACGGAAATCCAGGAAAGGAAAAGGGTATTGCAGGCGAAGGAAGTGAAGGGTACTAAGGCTTGGCATGCAGAGGTACTTTGAAGCCCAGTATGAATCCCGAGGAATTCCGCTTGCGAGAAGTTCCGGTGGGGCTATTGATTACTTGGAGGTGAGAAGGCAAGGGAACATACCGTCTGGGTGTGGTGTGGTCTGTGGCTCAAGCGAGGATGGTCTGAGGGAGGCACACCCACCAGAGGCCGAGATGGCTGAAGTACTTGCCCCAAGTGGACAGTACCATTAGCGGTAGTGTCGGTGTTGTGGGTACCCGACAAATGTATCCCCTCGGGATCTGCCTTGGTATAATACGGCAAGCTATTGCATTCGAGAGAGATGAAAATGAAGTATACATGCTGTTCTGATTATCGCTAGCTTCCACGTCCACGCCCAACCCTTGGAACGAAGAAAAAAGTAATTGAGGGGTGTCATGAAATCTTGATCTTTGAGCATCAGTCGAGGTGGAGGGGGGCAAAAGTAAAGGAAACAGAACTGTGCACCACAAAAGCTTCAACTTGCTTGATCGCACTCCACTAGGCGCGCACCATTGCCAACGCGGAAGACCACGGGCAGACAGGTATTGATGGCGGGCGGTTCCCTGTGGGAAACAGTTGCAGCTGGTTGTTGAAAGTGGTGAATTCCATTTTTCGAATCCTTCCATCCTCTCTTATCTCTTGATCTAATTCCGGGGTAGCTGTTACCTGGTCATACTAAGACAAAATGGGGTGACTGACTAGTCTCTGATACATTCTCAGGTTGAAAGACCCACTTGCATCGCCAAGAACGTTGGATGTGTGGGCAAGAAGCAAGTCTCAAGAGAAAGGGAAAGAAACAAGAATAAGAAATAAAATAAGAAATAAAGAAAAAGGGACAGGAAAAAGAGGAAGAAGAAGAAGTAAGGAAAACAAAGTGCGGCAAGGTGAGCGAAAGAGGAAAAAGAAGGAAAGAAAACAGACAGAACGGAGACGGAAAGGCGGACCTAGCTCAGAATGGCAGAGCTGTGCTGCGTCCGAGAAGCTGTTTCGCCATGTGGAAAGAAGAGTCACCATTGCAGCCCATGCAGAAGTGACTGGGAGGCGTCAAAGAGACATTGAGCAACACCGAGTCAAAGGCGATTGGCTTTCCTTGCCTCTTTTTCCCGCTAAACAAAGCCAATCTCAGATGCGGCCGTCGGTTGTCGTCACTATCTATCAAACTCTCCTGCGGACGACACATTCGACATCTCGCTGATCAAGGAACAAAGGTTGCGGAATGGCATTTCAGGGTCGCCAGTTGTGCAAAGATCCACCAGAGTCTAGAACGCCCCAAGGCCAGGGTGCTACAAAGTACTTTGGTGAGGAAATCGACGCTTGACGAATTTCATCCTTGGGCGGGAAAGCGTGCGTGTTCTTCAGAAGGGAAGGGTGCCCTCGGCGAAGGATCCATAGTTGATGACAGGCAAGACAGCCCGGTGTAAGCTTTTCTTTCACAAGCACCGGGTACTACTAATACAACGCAACAGCATTCGGCGAGACGGTACATGAAGCGCTTCAGGGAATGTGGGCCCGATAATACGTACCGCGACGTAACTGGTCATATCTCACAAATAATAGTGGGTCGGCCTTGGGCGGGAAGAAACAGACAGAGGTTGAAGTCTCATTGCAAACAACGTCTTCCCGATTGCGGAGTATTAGCAGGCGTGGTCCCCTGTGGGAAGTCGCAACTCGACATGCAGCAAGAGAGACAGCAGGGATGTTCTTATCGTGCTTATCAGTTCCTCCTAAACCCAATATGATTGGCTATACGTGGTGGACGGGCCATCCCCCTTGCGGGTTTGGGCAGCGTCGAAGTCTCCCTCCACTTGTACTTTTTCCTCATTACTTTTTTCGCCTTCTGTGTTTATTAGTGAGGAAAGTGGTACCGTCTCGGATAGCTTTCTTCCCCATCCGCCATCGGCCTCCCCAGCACGCCACATCGATTGATCTCTCGTTCACGATCAGACCGGGTTGGGTATAGCGCACGCTTGTTGTGTTGGGACGACCGCGTTTTTGTCCTTGCACTTGCAGAGCAGGCGGCCAGTGTTGCCAACACGCACGCACGATAGGAGTCTTGGAAACAAGGGAACCCCCTCTTGTTCCCAGTCGTGTCGGAGAATTTCGAGAGTGGAGCCAGCCAATATCATTTGCGTTTGTCATTCTCAATTCAAGGCCTGCACTCCTTCGTCCACCAGTCTCCGTCTGCTTGCAAGTTGCACAAGCCCACCGTCAGTGCACAAGCACGCCTGTTGGAGGGGGCCTTGCGCTGACAAGGGCTCAGGGGCTCCACAAGAGCGGCCGTTTTAAGTGGGACTTGCCTTCAGTGTCGTCTCTGATCTGATGAGAAGGGTCCAGAGATCCATAGATGCCTAACGCTTTTTCTACAAGTTTCTATCGCGCCCGGCTATCACTCCTTCCTTCAAACTCTACCTGGAGTGGTGTGACTAAGGACAAAGTCCCTCCACGCTCTTTACGATTTGAGGCTAGGCGAGCTAGTCTTTCGTATGAGCGTTTGGATGCCTTGAGAGAGGCAGAAGAAAAACAAATCATAAACCCCGACGCCAGGCTCAAGTTAAAATTGGGAGGGGGTCATGTAATACGTCACACCCAAACCCCAAAAGCAGGGGACCGCTCCAACCTGGATGTCACTGCAAGGCGTTGAGAAGGCGGCCCTAAGTCAAAGATGTATCAATGGGTTGATCAGACCCAGCCTTGAGTAAGGGCAGCTAGAAGGATTCAGCAAATAATAGACATAACCTACGCTGGCTGGCCAGACACCAGATAGACCCCCTCCCCCAAAGGCCCTCCCTTCATCCAAGGAAAAGTACAAAGCATTCGAGTGAGCCTCTGATGTGAAAAACTAGCTCCAACGACGGCAAGGCAGGGCTTAGAGTTAGAGTAAGCTCGATAATGAAGGGAGTTGGACACGCAAGACATGACATCTACAGCGTATCAGGATTTAATCTTTGTCCTTCCAACATGCGTAGTTACGATACCAACACTACCCTTTCAATATGAAGACTTCATTCGTGCCGTGATAAGATTAGTGCACGGATGAGTGTCAGGGCCGATGATGATGACGAGATGAAATCCTGTCAGAAAAGATCGTCACACCCATATTGATTCTTGCTATCTCGCGATGCACCACAGCAGCTGCATGCAAGGTTCTGGGCATGGCTTCCTACACAAGGGAGAAGAATAAATTTATCCTTCCGCTATCACCGTCCATCCCATCCCGTCTTTTTCTTCTCCCCTCCGAAAATCAAAGTCAGGTTCCCCACCGAATCAGGGAGGTGAATTCGGCAAGTTTGACTAACGGCAAACTCCGTCACACCCGCAGATGGGCGTCACTGTCGGGTCAGGCAAAGTCCATTTTCCGCTTCTTCCGCACTCCCCGAACCGAAGCGCCAACCCCAAAAGAAAAGGACGAAAAAATTAACCTTGCACAGAAGAGGGCTGAGCCTGGACCTACCGCCACCCCGAATCCCGTTCGAGCCGCACCACCAAGATAAAGGTGTTCGCACACTAACCAGCCGAAAAGTGAGGAATGCAGAGAGAGATGGGGGCGCAAGAAAAGGAAACTCAGTTTTCGCTCTTAACACAAGGAATCGGGGTTTCGCTCATTTCCTGTTGATCCGGTCGCCGTCCGGCCCCAATCGGCTTCCCCGAAGGAGAGAGTTTGGTACGCAAGAAGTGAAGAGGACAAGGACGATGTACCTGCCGGGCGATCAGAGTTTACTCTCCTGGACTGAACATGGACCCCCGTTCACCCCTTCCAAGAAACAAGCCTCATGACATGACCTCACTCCTGTCTTGGGCAGTGGTCGAATGAAGGCGAAGTAAAGACAAGGGGGTGGGCGCTATGGACAACGGGCGAAAAAGGGAAAAGGAAAAAGGAAAAAAAGAAGTAATTTACGACACCCAGCAAGCCGCTAAGCTTAAAAGATGGGCTGCTTTTCACGGACAGCTCCTCCGAGAGAGCTGGAGTTTAATACCTTCGTCCACCCTGCTGGCCTCTCCCATTCTGCAGCAAAACGTGGCAGGTCGCTTTGATTGTCGGGCCTTATTGGCCGACCCACAAAAGGGCTTGGATCTGACCACTTCCGCCCGTCAGGTCTCGTTGCCCAATCGCTTCCTCCCCGAAGAGGAAAAAAGAGAGATATCAGATTCAGCAGGGCCGGCGCAAACCATTGACCGAATACTTTGTGTTGCACAGTTTAGAAAGTAAACAGGCAGAACAGGTGGGATGCATGAGGCATCAA